AAAAAAAAACGATACACCTCGGTGAAAGAGAGCCACACAGATCTGATCGGCGATTCCGGGTCTGAAGGAACCCTCCTCAACGGCTTGGGGAAATGCCCTGCCCAACCACTGGAGCCCATCGGCGCAGCGCACTCGAGTCATATTTGTTTATATGTTGTTTTTGTTTTGTTGTTGTTGTGTTTTTTTTTTTTTTTTTTTTTTTTTTTTGTTTTTTGTTGTTGTTTGTTTTTTTTGTTTTTTTTTTTTTTTTATTTTTTTTTTTTTTTTTTTTTTTTTTTTGTCGTTGTTGTGTTTTGTTTTTGTGTTTTTTGTTTTTGTTGTTGTTGTGTTTTTTGTTGTTTTTTTGTTTTTGTTGTTGTTGTGTTTTTTTGTTGTTTGTTTTTGTTTTTTTTTGTTGTTGTTGTGTTTTTTTTGTTTTTGATTTTTTCTTTTTTGTTTTTGTTGTTGTTGTGTTTTTTTGTTGTTTGTTGTTGTTTTGTTTTTGTTGTTGTTGTGTTTTTTGCTTTTTTGTTTTTTTTTTGTTTTTGTCGTTGTTGTGATTTTTTGTTTTTTTGTTTTTTTTGTTGTTGTTGTGTTTTTTTTGTTTTTTGTTTTTTTGTTTTTGTTTTTGTTGTTGTTGTGTTTTTTTTTTGTTTTTGTTTTTTTTGTCTTTTGTTGTTGTTGTTGTGTTTTTTTGATTTTTGTTTTTTTCCGGTTTTTTTTCTTCTTCTTTTTAATAGCGATCGGCATGAAACATGGGCTTCTTAGAACCCATGTAAAGATTTCAGGGCGGAGATCCGCACCCGTTTCTGGTTGGGATTCTCCCTGGCTAACCTTCATCTACCCGAGCTCTGATTGTACCTCACTTGGGGTCTTGAGTAATCGGACCGAGACCCAAAAATGGCTTCGGTTTCTCCTTTGGTTTCCATTGAAAACAAAACGTTAAACCATTGAGAGCACCCTTTTCTGTTGTTTCAAAAGGAAAACCACCATTTTGAGGGGTTTCTCCTTTGGTTTCCCTTTAACCCAACCCAAAACAGGAACTTGTCAGAAGAAATTACCCGTGCTTGGCAGCAAGCTGTTACCCCCTTTGCGTTTTGAGTTTTCATTGGGCAACTGCCTACACAAACTTGATGTACAGAGACCCACACTGTCCGAAAGGAAAGCCGGCCGAAATGGGCTGATCCTTCACTTGGCAAGGGGACATGTGGCAGTAAACCGAGTTCAAAGACTCCATGGTGCCAACCGGTTTTTTTTGCGTGTTTTTGAGGGCACCTCCCAAAACAAAAATGGTGGTTGTCCTTTTGGTTCCCCTTTTAAACCCACCAAAAAAGGGTCCCTCAAAAAAAAGACACGCCCATGTTGTCGAGCCCTGCATAAACTTGGCAGATTGATAGAGGCTGTTGCGCTCATGACATGGGACACCCCCTATTCACCAATGTAGTCCTGGCCTTCTACTCTTGACTTGCGGGTGCATGTTTTTATTCACGACACTGACTCCTTCAGTCGAAGGGATTGGGAAACCCCTGAAGTGGTAAACCCGTTTGCGTCTAACCCGGAAAGCAGCTTCCCTCTAACTTTGGCTTGGTGGCATTTGGAGGTCCGGGTGGTTTCCCATTTACCCTCTGCAAGAACCAGGGGTTCAAATCCAAACCCAATCCAATCCAAGCCACCCATTCAAGACTACCTAAGTAAGAAAAGCGGCTAAATAGACCATGTTCCCCTATCATTACGCAATTCGGTCAACTAAAGATTACTCACCTGCCCCTATGGGACCTGGAAATGAAAGGAGATCACCTTTTGGAACCTTGGAATGTCATATCGGACCAAAACCTGGAGGTGTGTGGACTAAATTGCCGCTATGAGACTTGGAAATACAAAAGGCGATCACATTTTGCCACTTTGACATTTCCTTTGGGCCAACAAAGAAGGCCAACACACGAAAACAAGAAGCTCGGACCCTGTGGATCGTCTAAGACGGGCTGCAACTTGGCCCGTCCAGGCGTCGCCTCGATGAGTTCGGGGTCGTATGGCGTGGACTTCCCACCGCCTCAGATCTCTCGCCACAAAAATGGGGGGTCACCGGGTGGCCCCAGGCCCCCCCAAAAAATGGCCCAAAGGTTTGTCCTTGAAGCTGCTCAAAATGGTTTGGGTTGGCCAATCCGATTTTCCATCATCCCTATAGGAAAGCCACTACAAAAGGGACCCGTTCCTTGCGTAACTGCAGGTAAGGATTAAGGATTACCTTTGAACAGCCCAGCCTTAAGTACTTTAAGCCGCGAGTACTTGACCATCACAAGACTTCGACACGGGATACCTCTTGACATTTAGGACCATCCAAAAGGGGTGAGACTCATGTTGGTGCATGTTCCACCACATCCAACAACCACAAGAGAAGACATGCCTCTGCTCAAACAAGTAATTTGCATTTGGCCACGCAGTCGCATGAACTGCGTGTGGCATTTGCAGCCGCCTTGTCAAAGGAGTCTGCAAATGTCCAACCTTCTGGAGAACAAACAACCCCCCTCACAAAGGGTCTCTACACCAATGAAGTTGTCAAGGGCCAATCTGGGAGTGGTTGAGATCGGAAGTACCTATGTTGGGGGAAACTCAGTTTACACCCACTAAAATCTGACGGGACGCGGCTCCGCCCTTTTCGATCTGGATGCAGCTTGCTGCTAATGCGCGACGTTTCTTTCGGCCCCCAAAGTGACATTGATTGACTCCAACAAGTCATTGGCCAAGCTTTTTTGCCAATATCATACTTCAGAGTGCTCTCCAAAACAAGTCACCTACTTAGCTTTATACTGTTACCTGGAGTCTCCATGACCTTTCCTCATTATTTTTGGGTAATGACCCTGGAGACTCCAGGTATATACTTGGTCTATCTTGGTCTGCTCCAAACAGCGTTTGCATCGGGGTGCCGAAGGCCGAATCGAATCCCCCGCCCCGTGCCGAAAACGCACGCGCTGACTTTGTCAGCGCGCTTTCCTTCCGGGGGTGAAACCCACTCGCCGCTCGCGAGAGAATCTCAGAAAGCTCGCGGCAGGCGCTAAGCGTCGAATCAACGCGCGGAGCGAGCGCGAGACCGATCCTGCGACCCGCTCTTGCTTCATGGTCGAGGATGACACCGCAGGATCTCATCTGGGGGGGCCATTCCCCACATAAACCACCATTTGGGGTGAATTCGGTCGTGTGAGGTCGTGCACCCAGATTCTCAAAGAAGCCTTTAAACACCAGTCCCGGGTTGACGCTAAACCAGAGCCTTTTGGGTCTTGGCCGGAGTTCCAGGAAACAAGATTTGGTGAGACCTGTGCCAGACCTGTGCCTGGTATTCAATTGGCCTACCTCACCATGTAAGGAATTGAAAGGCCCTTGCTGCTACCCGGGTTTTGAGTGCACACCTGCAGTTTCCCTGAAGCGAGCTGTTGTCTCCACATTGAAAGTGATTGTAGTGACAGGCCGTTGCTTTTTGAGAACACTCTGGGTACCTGGACCCATGGACCGATTCCTTTTTTTCTTTGGCTTGTCCAGGTGAATTCAAGGACAACCGAAAACCCATGCTTTTGTTGGTCCCCCTAGTTTGCTTTCGGCCAAAAGGAACCACCCAAAAGGCAGAAGGGGGCCGTAATTGTTTGAGCCCCTATTGGTGCGAGAGATGGGAATGACCACTGAAATGACCCCCCTATTTTTTCCATCCGACCTGTGGTTTCCTTCAAATAAATCCAACCAATTCCAAACCTCACTCCCTGTGGGCTTCCTTCAGGTTGAACATCTCACATCACGTCTCACGGTGCTTGGCCTCTCCAAACGTGGAGCCAACGAATAAATGTTGCGTGTACAATTTCGAGACAAACCCACATGTGTGTCTAGATGTTTTTAGGGAGGCTTCATCCAGCAAAGCCTCCATTTGCTGGAGTCCCCAGGAAAATAGATTCCCTTTAAAACCCACATGGGAAAAGAACAAATCGTCCGCGAATCAAAACCTTCCGGTCTTCCCTGCGAGTGAATACACCGATTGCCAAAGTAGACTAAAGGGCCTTCAATGTGTTCCCTACTTCAAATGGGTGTGTTTTGTTCAGGATACCGCTTTCACCTCGCCTGTTAATGGGAAACCAGAAGGAAAGCAACCATTTCTGGGCTGTCCTCAGATCCCCCGCTAAAAGTTTAACTTTTAGTGGGTTAAATAGAAACCCCCCACTAAAAAGCTAAAAAGCTAAAACGCTAAGGAACCGGATTGCTGGGATCCACCAAGATCTTTCGCCTCGGCTTAAAGGGAAACCAAAAGGATAACCCAAGATGTTTTTCAGGGTTCATTGCTAAAGGGAATCCCTAGGTTCATTCCTTAAAGGGAAACCATTTCGGGAGTCGCACCATTTTGACCACATACCCAAATCAATCGAAACTCACGCTCCGCGCATAGCAGGACTCCCTGCGGGTGAGATCTAGGCGTGCTGATGCCGCGCACACTGTGCTCGCGTGGGTTGTGGCTAAGGAACTTTACTGGACATGAGGTCGATTTCTTGGTAAGTCAGCTCCATTTTAAGTATACTGACCAAGAATTAGGTCGATTTTGTTGTAAACTACTGCTTAAATGTCCAAAATATGAGCAGCTAGCAGCAGATCGATTTTTGGGAAGAGGCAGCAGCTAGCTCCTTGAGTATTTCACCATTTCAAGAACTGCCGCTACTTCCCAGACTTTAAACCAGGCACTGGAAATCCAGCTGGCGTCTAGGCCTCGATGTGTCAGCTCGTTCGCCCAGAAACCTCGTTTTGGTGGACAACTGTCCAATGTGTTGCATGCCTCGCCAGTGCACCGTTGAACAAGAAAAACAAAGAATGGCCAACCCGAAGCCCGAAGCCGATTCGCTTTCGGCTTTGTGTCAAATGGAAATGGGGCTTGTTTCGAATAGGCACCAGGAATCCAACAACCCCTTTTTGGGCCCCTGTAAAGGCTGGCCCCACATCAACCACGGCGCAACAGGGTACTCCGACATCAGGCGCCGCCGGAGCTGGAGCGCTCAGGACCACCCCCTGAGGTGCGATCGCGAGCGAATCCCTCGATTTCCAACGCGGGTGGATCCTTTTTCGGTAATAATCAACGCGCACACACACACACACAAGAAGCAGGGCGATCTATAGGGCTCCCCACGTGCCCTAAAAACCATCTGGACCAACAGAAAGTCTCTCCAAAAGTTGTGGGCACCAAAACAAGAGGTGGAGGATTGATTGCCTGAATGCAGGCTGAATGAAGTGTAGACTGGGATATTTGTCAACTACCCCCCCCGAAGCACAGGTCCCAGGCATAGGTGGCCTAATAGATGGGTTCCCCTGGTAAATGGATGGCATAAACCCCATCTAAACCAGTGGAATCCATGTATTTTCAACCAGAACCGATCAAAAGGATGCCTATGTCCCAGGCCAGCGCGTTTGACGTTTGGGGCGCACGCGTTAAACGACGCGCGCGACTTGGGCTTGCTTTTTTTGTTCGGCGCCCTGGCGAGCGACGGGTTGTGGATGCCAAGCGAATCCCTTCCAATTCGGAGGCCATTGTTATGAACTTCGATACGGGACCCGATATGGTCTAGGTCCTCCAGTAGAGAGGTTAGAAATTAACCCCTAGAATAAGGCTGGTTCTGTCTGCTTGAGCCCAAAGTGATGGAACTGAAGCAATGAATGCCGCCGCTGTAGCATCAGTTGATACCACAAACAAAATGTAGGCGAAACAGATGGAATATCAACATCATCAAAAGGGAAATCTAAACCACGCATAATGTTGATCCAATATTAATCAACCAGTTTATTCATAGGGGAGTGTCCATTTCTGGGTGAAATGTGGTTGCAATCAGACCACTAATGGAGGGTCCCGCCCCCACCCCCCGAGAGAAAGAGAGAGAGAAAGAGAGAAAGAGAGAAGAGAAAAAGAGAGAAAGAGAGAAAGAGAGAAAGAGAGAAAGAGAGAAAGAGAGAAAGAGAGAAAGAGAGCAAGAGAGCAAGAGAGCAAGAGAGCAAGAGAGAAAGAGAGAAAGAGAGAAAGAGAGAAAGAGAGAAAGAGAGAGAAGAGAGCAAGAGAGAAAGAGAGAAAGAGAGAAAGAGAGAAAGAGAGAAAGAGAGAAAGAGAGAAAGAGAGAAAGAGAGAAAGAGAGAAAGAGAGAAAGAGAGAAAGAGAGAAAGAGAGAAAGAGAGAAAGAGAGAAAGATAAAGAGAGAGAGAAGCAGTGTATATATATATATCATCATAGATATACCAAAACATTTTTGCATCACCTTTTTCATACACGCTTTCGGGATAATCGGTGTCTAGTTTTTACAAGGACATCATCACTACTGGAAATATGTTTTATTTTTAATTTGGCCTTAACCAAATGGAAGAAACCCTTGGTGGTTTTCTCCATGCTCCTTCTTGGCCCATGGAAAGTGCGTTTCCCTTGGGGCGATGTAAGGATGTCGGAAGTTCTGAGGCTGCCTGGATGTTCTGAAGAAACCGGGGTGGTTATTAATAAACTGGGGCTGATGAATATGGGGTCAACATCAAAGGAAACCCCAAAGAAAACCCGACCCGAAGGGTCCCCTAAGGCAGGCTGCTTAAGTGACTCACAGCGGTAAATGTTACACCCAGCAAAGGCTTATCAAGGGTAATCAACCTCAGACATAACAAAGCCCGTGAATGGCCATGACCGGGGTCTGCTGCCGGGTCCAACGATCATTCACCAGGCATGCCCAAGCTTTCTTTCATAACTTGTGGTTCTTAAGTGTGCTTTCACGAACCCTGCTTAGTAAACCTGAGTGGTGCTCCACAAAACCTCCTGGGGAAATGCTCTGGAGACCCCTAAAACCCCCTCAAAAAGCAGCAAACAAAAGCATAGGAACCTCTCCAAAACAAACAAAAGCTTGGGAAGCCCTGAACAACTCATGACAAACCAACAACTCTTGGAAGCCCCCTCAACACCCCTCAGGAAATCCAAAACTCAAGCCCTCAGCAAACTCCTCAAATGAGCCCTCCAAACACCACCACACACAGCCCCAAAGCCCCTCCAAAGGCGGAACCAACTCCGGAAGTCCCTTCGAAAACCAAACAACTCAAAAACAACTCAACAAACAAACAACAACCACTCAAACACCAAACCACGCAACTCAGAAGCCCCTCAAAACCAACACTAACTGAAGAAGGCCTGAAGCAAAAAACAAAACGACCACAGCAGAACAAAACAAGACATAAATAACGCATCAACCAACCAACCAACCAACCAACCAACCAACCAACCAACCAAGCAAGCAAGCAAGCAAGGAAGCAAGGAAGGAAGCAAGGAAGCAAGCAAGCAAGGAAGCACGCAAAGCCAGCCAAGCCAGCCAAGCCAGCCAAGCCAGCCAGCCAGCCAGCCAGCCAGCCAGCCAGCCAGCCAGCCAGCCAGCCAGCCAGCCAGCCAGCCAGCCAGCAAGCAAGCAAGCAAGCAAGCAAGCAAGCAAGCAAGCAAGCAAGCAAGCACACAAAGAAAGAAAGAAAGAAAGAAAGAAAGAAAGAAAGAACAACAAACAAAACACAAACAACCAAACAACCAACTCAAAAGCAACTCAAAAACCAAACAACCAACTCAACATATACCCATGAAATAGAAAACAAACTACTCAACAAACATCAAGCACGGAACACCAACCAAACACTAACCAAGCAACTCAACACCCCTCGAAAAGACAAAAGAATAGACCTGCGGCATCTTCTGAGGTTCCGGCACTTTGTCGACCACCGGGTATGTGGTCTGTCTGACTGCATCCAGCTGGATCAGCAGCAGCTGCCCTCGATATCAGATCCAGTTGGATCAGGGGCTCTGGCGTGTGTTTTTTCGGTTATTTGAGTCAGGCGGTCTCTCTTTTTGAGGCTACCTGGACCCGCGGTCCAATAACACGGATCCCCTGCAACAAGCTATCACTTGTTGGCTGGGTTAAGGCAAAGGGAAACCAACAACTTGCTAATGCTCAATAAATATAACGTTTGGGATTCCCTTAAAGGACAACCAAAACCGGGGATGCTTTATGGGGGCTCATTCTCTGCCTATGGCACCCATAAGAAAAGGCAAAAGGGCAGTCTGCTCTTTTTCCATTCTTCTCAACCATTGTTCTTTCGAAAACCGGCCGGTGCTTCCCACTTTCTGGGGTGAACATGCGGAAGATCTGGAAAAGGGCACCGTTTTTAAATGTGGTGGGGATGCAAAAGGGCCCTAAGCGACACAGCCTTTGAAGCCAGGACAAAATATATGTTTGATTCTGGGCCACTTGAAGTTTGAAATGGAAAGCATGAACAAAGGCTTCCAGAACCGGCTTATATCACCCAAAGGATTCCTGGTTGCGTTCCTTGGCCTGGTGAACCGCCCTAACTTGGGACCCTGAGAGTCTTTTTTGGAGGAAAAGCATCTTGGCGTCCAAAGTGGGAACCCTTTCAAAGACTGGAACACACTCAGCTGCTCAGCCCGGGATCCAGAATGAAAAGATGATCACCGATCACCTTGTGGAGCGGCTCCTAATGGGAACCCAAAAAGCAGAAACCAAGAAACTCCTCAGGTCGATTTGCTTCAAGCCACTGAAACCCGAGATCCAAAAAGTAGAACCAAGTGCAAGGATCACCCTCCCCACCCGAGCAGAAGTTAAGGACCATGAAACCGACACTTAAAACTTAGGGAACTCGACTTCTTGCAAAGCCACCGGGTGTCAAAAAAGGTCTAATTCCATCTCTCGGCTTTCTGGGAAACGCAAAGCTTCTGCGGTTCTCACACGCAAGCCGGCAGACTTCATAGGGGCCACTGGATTTCCCCGAATCCAAAGTTGATCAATTTACTGCTGGTTTCCCTTGCAATCGCCACTTTTGGAGGTCCCCTTTAATAATTTAAAGATCTTTAAAAGGGACATGGCAACCCCTGAAGACCAGGTCAACCCCTCTTTCCGATTTCTTCGTCCGAGGCGCGTTGGGCGGCTTGCATGGTGACCTCGTCATTTCGGCCCGAAGCCTGGCGTGCGTGTGGCGGGGGAACGAACCTGATAGTTGGTACCCAGACTCATGAACCGTGCGGGAGGGTTCCGCCCCTCTTAGGGACACCCAGGGCCCTCAAGCAGCAACCTATTTTGACTCGGCCCGGGCAGTAGTCGTGAGCCTTTGGGTAGGTTTTTTGCCCCGTTATTTGTAGAGTTTCACGCATGCCAACTGGTGCGAAATGAATTTCGTCCGCCCGCAGTAGTGAAAAATGCCGTACAACTTCCCATCGGTTTATACTGTCATCCATCCTCACCAAGCACCCTATGGGACCAATTTGGATGACAATCCAGAACTAAACAATGGCGGTTGTATGTGAACCCGCATTGTTCTTATCTTCTTGTGGTGGTTTAACTCCAGGGCAACATTAAGAAAGGGGACCGTCGCATCTACTTTTACCCTGAAGGAAACAAGGAATTGGTTGAAATTCAGCGTCTCCGAGCCCCTCGTCCTGAACCCAAGTTGACCATACTGTGGAGGGACGAAAATCTGCACCACCCAAGAAACCCTAGAATGATGATTCCCCTGTAAATGCCAACAAACAATGATTTCTTATTGTTTCAAAGTGGTACAGGATTTCGTCCCTCCACAGTAGAGACAGTTCAGCAGCGCCCACAGCCAGTAACGTTTGATTCTTCCAGCACGAAGGCTCCTATGGGCCCATTACGATGAATAGGCCCACTACGATGAATGAGCCCATCTAACCATGTAGTAGACATTTGCTAAGTGTGAAAATGATAATACCGGACTCGTGCCCAAGATAGATGCCTCGGATTGTCTTTTCGCCCAGGTTACGTACCGTTTAAGCTCCACTACCTGTGGATCTGCGGTATACCCCTCCCCTAGGAGGCATGGGTGAAAAAAGGGCACTTACTCTTTTCTTTGCAGTTTCTTTGACTCAATTGCCCCTTCAAAACCCAGACATAAAAGGTGATCACCATTTGGAGCCATGACGAACCATGAGTGGGTTAAATAGCAACCCAACCACAAAACCAACCTAACCAATTTTAAGAACAACTAAAACCCTGTGGAAGGTTGTTCCGCACACCCCAAATGCACAGCGCCGCAAAAAACAAAAACACACATCGGTGAAGGCACCGCACAAATACGGCAAATTGCCTGTCCTCGGCAATCTGGGCCAAACTTAGACACACGCAACTGGTTCTGTGTCATTTTCTGCAGGAACATGCAGGAGCTCGAGGGAGAGAGGGCAAAGCGATTTACGTCTGGCAATGATATGTTGGTGAGTGCTTTTTCGAGGTACCCCTTGTTTGGATTGAAAGGGAAACCAAAAGGACAACCACAATTCTTGTGTTGTTTGTTTGTTTGTTTGTTTGTTTGTTTGTTTGTTTGTTTCTGGGGGGGCCGTCGGCAAAAAACGAACCAACCCCAAACTTGTCTTGTTTCTTGGGTTCCTTCCGAAAGAAGCGCTTGCGGGCTACACGGCTCTGCGGCGTGCGCCTTTTGCTGGTCGCTGGACTCGTACTGCAGCTGGACACCTGGTGCCAAGTGAGTTCAGTTGCGTCACACTTGGCAGAGCAGACACGACATCTACTATCTGATAGCATCTTACTAAAGCCATCAATCGTGGCATCAATCATGTCATAGGTCACTGCACCAGCTTAAAAGCAACTTCTTTCTTGCCGTTTCCCTTCAACACGTCATGTGAAGCCTCAGCTTCAGCCCCCAAGTGATATTGGATCAAGAATGAAAGCTCCGTCCATGTACTGCTCCTCCTCCCTCGATTTGCAAATCTCTGATAATGGGAAACCAAATGGAAAGCCGAAACATGTTGGAGGAGCCTCTTTGGAGACAAACCCATATGGGTGTCTTTTTCCACAGGGCCCCCAAAAAATGTGCTTTTCCTGTTGGTTTCCTTCTAAAAACAGCAAAACAGGGCACCTGGCGTCTCCATGACCCTTAAAAAATATGGGGTCATGACCAAAAATAATGAGGGCATGGAGCTATTTTTAAAGGGTCATGGAGACTCTAGGCAACCTCAAAAAAAGACAGACCCATATTGTGCAATGGCATGGAGGTATCGGAACGTTGCTCAGACAGTATAAGAACTACGCAGCTGAAGTTTCACGGGTATCACCGGGACTGCTCAAGCCCGTGCCGTGGAATACCTCAAACCCGTCGGGGGTGAGACAAACTCCTCCAGATTCTGCTTCAGACTCAGTCCACCCTAAAATATCCAATATGTCTGGAGGAGACAGTTCAAACTGGAACCCAAAGTGGTCCCACTGCTTGCAGGATCCAAAGGCTTAGGTCCGATTTCTGAGTAAGCGTCTGTCACATACACCCGCCTGCAACATTGAGGCGCTCTTGCACCGCGTCCACCTGCAACGTGCGTGCGACGTCCAAGTTTCTTGCCCAAAGGCTGCCATGAAGTATCTAAAAGGGCGGCCCCGGGGAAAGGGTGGGGATTCCCCAAGGCTCCCAAAAAATAAGCCTAAGCATACCCCAAATTGGCTAAAGCTCAACTACCCAGCCCCCTTGTAGCTACACTCCTTAGGGATTCCACAAAAGGAGCTGGAAATTAAAAGGTGAATGTGTTTTGGGACCTTGACTACAAATAGTCCAAGATACGAAAACGAAAAGGGTCAAAAGACCGATCTGCTTTGGACAAGTGCGCCAAAATGGTGGGGTGCCTTTTGGTTCCTTTCAAAAATCAGCCCAAAGGGGGCGGGGGTACCTAAAAAAGCTTCGTACACCCAGGAAATGTGTCGTGCGTTGAGACTATCCTTTAAAGGTCGGTTCAAAAGGAAGCACATCAACACATCAAGAAACCACGTGTTAGGACAATGTGCGCACTTTGGTCCATTTCTTTCGCAGCCCCGTTTAAACACCCAAGATTCCCGGTCTTTCCCTCTATGTTTTCTCCTGTTCCAGCCGCCACATGAAGGCTGGCCCATCCAGTAGACACTGACCTGACTCTCGCCGCGGCGGCGGTACTGCCGTGGCTTGTTTTGGGATTGCCAGGTGCCGGCCCCACGGTCCAATCCCTTTTGGGAAAATCAGCAATCCCTGGGCTGAAGTCTAAAATGAGGGGCTCTCTCTCATTAACGAAGTCCATTGCACTCTCCAAACCAAGTAGTCCGCCATAAAAAGTCTGAACTTGATTTCTATTTGCCAAAATGATCTTCCCACAAAGAATAGAGTCCAGGAACTCAGGAAGAGACGTGCCGCACGATTGCCGTGTGCCAAAAAGAAGATCTGTTCAAAACCGGAAAGCGACAACAAAAACATGGTCTCTGCTGGCGTTTGACAAGCAAAAAATCAGAGCCGTTTTACTTGGGGAGCAATGTCTTCCATCGTTCGAATGGATTTAAGCACAAAAGGAGACCAGCCTAGGGAAGGTTCAAAGCGACTTTTTAGCAGACACCCATTCCTGGCGCCTCAAACACCCCTGGCCCACGCCCCCCCACCCCGTATGATGCACACTTAGGGTCAATGTTGGTTGGTTTTTTAGGTCTCTTGCCCCCCCCCAACAAAAATAATCAGGCGACGCGCTCACTCGGCAACAAAAAAAGTTCGCGTCTGTCAGTGCCCCGCTGCCCGCGTCTTTGTCGGTGCAATGTGTATGTGATTGTATGCATAATGTCTAACTCGATATGTATCAGCAAACATATGTGTATATATATATAATTATATTATACATATAGTTTAGTGTGTCTGTATATATATATATATATATACATATGCCTCTGTGTGTTATGTCTTTGTTTGTGTATTTCAAAACTGAGGGTCGCCTTTTCAAGGGTTGGCATTATATTGGAACTCAACTGGAAACCATTTGGGTCGCGGAACGCTCGCATGACCCATGCCTGCATGTTCAAGAAGCGCATGCGCTGCACATACTGAGTGGCTCTGAGCACCTCCCAAGGCCGATGCCGGCGGATCTCCCAGCCCAAAGCGGGGATGGCCCGTCCTTTTTCTGGACTGGTCCCCCTTGTTTTCTGCCGCAAAAGGAAAGAGGAAAAGGAAACCACCATTCTCAGACAATCTATGTAAGTAATATATACCCACATTTGCTCTCGAAATGGGTCAACAGTTGGTATATATTTCCTACATGGATTGACTGGGATTCTGTAGGATTTGTCCCCATTTGTCTTCAAGCCCTGGCTTGCTTTGGCCAGACCTTTCGCCTTATTTGGCTGTGAATTGGCAGGGGTCGGACACGAAATGGTAGACACAAAAGGGGATTCATGTCAACCAACCATGTGGTTCACTGTGTAAAGCCGTTTCAAGAGGGGCCTAAACAAATCTTGAACTATTTGCACGTCTGTTTTATCACTTCTAAAAGGACTCCTGCGCTCACGTCAAGCGGCCCAAAGAGCCAACTGTGCGCAGCCAAGTGCTCAAAGTATCATAGTTCAAAGAAGGCTTAACCTCATAAAATGGTTTTCCAAAAATACAAAGTCCAGGAACCCATAAATGAGCAAGGCCTAAACGACCTCCTCTCAGTGCCTGTGCAACTCTTCGTGGCGAGGACACGCCACGAATGCTTCGGTTTGAAAAAGCAACCTCGGCTTGCTTTCAAAGGGTCTGGATGCACAAATGCACAAGCACTTGGAAACCAGAAAGAAACTAGGCTACCAGAAGACACCCACATCTGCTGGTTGAGCGGATTGTTGGATGGGCTGGTTGTTGGGCTTTTAATTTGTTGGTTTGTTCTTTGGGGCGACGACACGGGAAGTAGACCTTTGGGGCTTCCCAAAGCCAAAGCCCTCCGATCGTCTTCCATGATTAGAGGGAGGGTAGCCCACCTGTCTCTGCGCGTAGCAAATGAGCTGCACCATGTCTTGTCCTGGCAGCGCTGACGATCGGACGCCGGCAACTTCTCTGGGTGCTTCTGCAGCACACCGCGCACACAGGAAGAGTTTTGTCACTGTGATCTCTCCCTGTGACTGTGACCTCTCCCCCTTGCTGAAATTGGAGGACCTCCAAACCAGTGGTTTTCCTTTTAAGTCCCTGTTCGTAAAATAAAATCAGCGAATGAAGCCACGTGCAACAGAACGCCCTGCATTTCTGACTCCCCCGCCTAGCATGATTGCGTGCCCCCGTCACTTAGCAGAGTCCCATGATCGCCGTCCATGCGGCCTGCAGCACATAATAAATCACCCGGCCAGGGGGTGTATGAGTCCCATGATCGCAGTCCGTTTGGCATGCAGCACATAATGAATCACCAGGCCAGGGACCAGGAGAAAGCCGGAGCGAATCGAATCTCTGCACTTGTCAGAGCCCCCTCCCCCCCGACTGGGCTTGCGCACCCTCAGTGGGCTTGCGCGCATGCAGTTCCCTCTCCCTGTCCCAGCAACCCGACTTGTTCGATCTTTACTGTCTAATTGCTGCCGTGCGTGTTCCCAGCCTGGCAGAGCATATGGGGGCACATGCGATTGAAATCTTGCTGCGAATCTTGCCTGTTTGCTACGAGAGCTTACCAACAGCTCTGCGCCTACTCTGCCTTGCGCTGACTTTTGATTGATAGCCTCCTGAGCGAACACATTCAAGAACAGCAATGAATCAGCTCTTCTTGAAGTTGTCAGGATACAGCGAGTGCCGTCGCCGTCCAAGCGTAAGCCGACACAGTCAGGCAGGTCTGGCATTTTATATGCGCATCAGATTCAAAGTTGGTTTGGGGCCCAGTGAAATAAGGTGATGTCTTTTCTCAAAGCCGTGTGCAGTAGGTGCTTCCTTTGTTCGAACTGCCAAAGTAGTTGCGCAAGTCATTTGTCCAACTCAAGTCCTTCTCTTGGTGAGCCTATGCCTGGCTTGCGTTTGGGCTTTCGGCTGTGGCTTGTGCGGCTGGGTGTGGTCCACCTTGGGGTCCAAAAGTACGCCGGTGTCTCTGCAGCTGCCCTCTCCACGGGGCTGGGCTGTTTCCAAGCTGGTAGGATTGGTGCTCTGCTGCCAGTGAACCCAAGGCCTCCTCTGCTCCTTTCCATCCGAAAAGTCGGGGGGCTTGAGCGTGAAATGGAGGTTCTCGGTTTCCCTGATCAATGCTGAAGGGCCTGCTTGTCCATCGGCATGGTCTGCTTGAAGTGGTCGGACCGTGGCCGCAATCGCACCTCCTCACCGAAAGCCGCAAAGGCAGCCAATCTGCGTTTCTTTGAATCTGAAGTCCCCCGAAATTCCCTCGTAAACCTCGCACTTGCTCACCACAGCGAGATCCAAGTAACTCGGCAGGGCCGCGGGCTGCCCCACAAACTGTAGCTGGACTCAGGTCCTCGGGCTCCGACTCCTTTGGCGCACACTCCAAGTTGCCACATCGCCTGCAGTAGTCTGCGAGAAGCGCTCACCAAGTAAGCAAAACGAACAAAGCCTCCGGTCTCGCATTGCTATAGGGCCGCAGCGGGCAGCAAAGTCCGCCTCGTAGTTTGTCACCAACGCTGCGCTGTAAGTAGAGAGAACTCCTCCTCAGTTTTTGAGGAGAATGAAGTTTGGCCTGCAAGCATCCAACCAATTGGCCCTGCTTCTACAAACCAGGCTCACGGATTGGTGACCCAAAACCAACAGTTGGCATCCATGATGTGACTTCAATCTCCCGTAAGTGTGTTGCCACTGAGATTCGGATATCAGATTCATGACTCTCTCTTTCGCGTCGATCACGGTGCCACAATGTGCTCCTATGCTGCGGCAGTTTAGGCAGTTACCCGGAAGCTTTGTCAGTATTCCAACGCCTCCTCTTCCTCCTCGTCCTTCGAGTTTCTCATTGTGATATATTATGATCTTGGTGGGTCTGAGTTTTATTGTGTTCTGCTTTATCCATGCAGAGGAGGGGAAACGCTTTGTCATAGTAACCCACGGCGGCAGACCCAACCAACCAACCAACCAACCAACCAGCCAGCCAGCCAACCAACCAACCAACCAACCAAGCAGCCAGCCAGCCAGCCAGCCAGCCAGCCAACCAGCCAACCAGCCAGCCGACCCAAGCAGCCTGGCTGGTTGGTTGTTGGCTGGCTGGCCGGCTTGGCTGGTTGATTGGGCTGTCTGGTAGGTTGGTTGGTTGGCTGGCTGGCTGGGTGCTTGTTTGTTGGCTGCCTGGCTGCTTGTTTGTTGGCGGCATGGTTGGTTGGCTGGCTGGCTGGCTGGCTGGTTCGCTGTCTGGTACCACCCCCCTTTTCCAACCAACTCGAACCCAGGATGAATTAAACCCTGGGTGCTTGATACATGCAGGTTGCATTTGACCGGACCATCTCCCTAATCCACCATTTTGATTCAACCAATGTCAACCTTGTGGCGGGGCAAGTGAGAACCCTTTCAAAGACTAAAACCCACAGCAGTGCAATGAGCTCTTCTAGGTCCTCCAGTAGAGAGGATAGCATAAGGAAACTTTTTTTCTGTAGTCTATTGTAGTAGGGGAACCCTCCCCAGAAAAAAGAAACGGTAAAAGGGCACTACTGGGGGACCTAGTCTTCAAATGGGCTCATAATTGAGCAACGAACATGCGCTTTCCCTGCATCGCTGTCGAAAACCTTCAGCACGCGTACCAAGCCAACAGCCGCCGGAGCGTTGGCAGCTCTCCGCTCATGGCTTCGACTACGGTTTGGATGGTTGGGGTGTGGCCTTCCCACCACTGGTGAATTAGATGGGCGCTACGGGTAGTTTCCCGCCTACAAACACCAAGGGTTCAGAGGAAACCACCAATCCAAACCAATAGGCGCAGGCAATGAAGGCACCCAACGCACCGACCGACCGGCTCGAGCTCGAACGCCGTGGCCTTTCGCTGGGCCTTTCACCTGGTCGAATCGGCGCAAGATGGGCACCTGAAACCTCAAAGTTCCCCCCAGGAATTGCTGCTTTTTGTTCGGCCAAAAATGATGGGGTGACGTTTTTTCTTTTTGTTCGGCCAAAAATGATGGGGTGACGTTTTTTCTTTTTGTTCGGCCAAAAATGATGGGGTGACGTTTTGTTCGGCCAAAAATGATGGGGTGACGTTTTTTCTTTTTGTTCGGCCAAAAATGATGGGGTGACGTTTTTTCTGTTTGTTCGGCCAAAAATGATGGGGTGACGTTTTTTCTTTTTGTTCGGCCAAAAATGATGGTGACGTTTTTTCTTTTTGTTCGGCCAAAAATAATGGGGTGACGTTTTTTCTTTTTGTTCGGCCAAAAATGATGGGGTGACGTTTTTTCTTTTTGTTCGGCCAAAAATGATGGGGTGACGTTTTTTTCTTTTTGTTCGGCCAAAAATGATGGGGTGACGTTTTTTCTTTTTGTTCGGCCAAAAATGATGGGGTGACGTTTTTTCTTTTTGTTCGGCCAAAAATGATGGGGTGACGTTTTTCTTTTTGTTCGGCCAAAAATGATGGGGTGACGTTTTTCCTTTTTGTTCGGCCAAAAATGATGGGGTGACGTTTTTTTCTTTTTGTTCGGCCAAAAATGATGGGGTGACGTTTTTTCTTTTTTTTCGGCCAAAAATGATGGGGTGACGTTTTTTCTGTCTTTTTTGTTTTCGGCCAAAAATGATGGGGTGACTTTTGTTTCTTTCTTTTTTTCGGCCAACAATCATGGGGTGACTTCGCTTGTTGATGGGTAGTTTGAGGAACACCCAACTCCGTTTTGAGGAAAGGAGGGCCGTAAAAGAAACAAAACAGAAGACCCCTTGGACAGGTTTGCGGAAACCACAGGCACAACACCAAACACAACACAAATAATAGAGCAGATCACACATTGGTCCAATCAACGAGCAAGTTGCACATTCTATAATTCTAAAACCTACAGTGAGAATTGGACCCAACCAAACAATTTAATTTACATCATGGCTCGAGCTCGTTTTACCCTCGGGTGAGCTCGCCAAAAGAATTGGGAAACCACATTTCTGAGGGTTGACCCCGCATTCTCTTCACCCATCGAAACCATCCATTTTCCCAGGGCTTGGCCATTCGATAAGCATCCCAGAAAGAAGGACAGCTGGAACAGGGACATTACCAACCCCATCAAAAAGGGGACTCTTGCTGGTGCTCAGTAGGGAATGAGGGAATGACCCATATATGAGCCATCCAACCGGTGGTTTCCTTTCAGGGGACCAAAGCCCCTACCAATCGCACCAGCAAGCTTAGGTGGTGCGTTGGATGGATTTCGCAACCATCCACAGTAGGGGGGTTGTTGGAAACGGCCACCAAGACCTTTTTGGACAGCCTGTACTCCTCACTTGGCACCAACACGAGTCGCCCAGATCTGACCTTTTGGTTTTGGAACTCTTTTCGTTTGGGTTCCCGCCAACATGCGGTGTGGAATTCTCTAGGGGTAACTTCCATTTCCATTCTTTCCGGGGATCCGAATCTTTCTAGAAAACCGCCAAAAACCCTGGAAACGGCGATCGGTATTGAAAAGAACGATGGCTGAAAAGAATGGACAAGGAATTACCCCCTGGAACAACATGCACAGTTGGGCTTGTCTATTTTTTGATTTCACCCACAAAATGGGTGGACGTCCTTGTGTGTCCCCTGAAAAGAATGGACAAGGAATCAACCCCTAGAAAAACCAGCATTTCCCCCCAAGTTTGGGGGGCTAGAAGTTTGTTTTGTTAATAAAAATTCTAGAAAAGAATGGACAATGGTGGTGTCCCTTTATTCTGGTGTTGAAAAAGCAACATGTTTCAAATGATTCCAAGATGAACTTCTTTTAAGGAGCCCTGGAAAAGAATGGGACAAGGAACCACCCCCCTGGAAAAATTCCTGTCGCCTTCTGCAGGCCAGCGATGAACTCCTCAGGCGTCACCGAGCCACCTGAACCGACGCACAAGCTGCTTTCGTGTGACGCCACGGGATCCGTCTCGCTAGGGATCCCGGGGTAGAAACCCGTTTTTTTCCCGATTCCCCTGTATCCAGGGGGGGCAAATGAAGCCCTTCTACGATAGCGGGCAAATGAACCCAAAATATATACTGCTTATAAAGTGGGTTGGAAACCAGGCAAGCCAAGGGGTATGAACAAGGGGTATGTACTTCCACCCTTAGACTGTAAATACCAGCAAGCAATGGTTACCTATTATGGAAAGTGGTGCAGGATTGCGTCCATCCACGGCATGGCGTCTTTCAGGGGAAATCAAGGGAAAAACAACCTGAAGGGGTCTAAGGTTTGGGGAAATTCCAAATTTGGAGGAGACATGTCCATGTCCGAAGTTTGGACAATGTATAAGTTACTTGACGTGAAGATGGAGAAGTTTTGAATGCTTTTCATGCGCCAAGGCCGCCAAGGCAAGCGGAAACTGAGGTGAGCCTTTTACGCAAATGGAATCCAACAGGTGTGGTTTGTGTTTCTGTTTGAAGGGGACCCACTAAAATTGGGAAGTGCTTGCTTTGGGTTTCTCACTTCCCTTTAAAACCACCATAAAAGGAGGTACCCTCGAAAAAAGCCGAGCGACCCAGCACAAAAAACATTCGCCAAGGGTCTGACATGTTTGGGTCTCCCCGAAAGGGATGTCTTCCTACCTCTCGCCAGAAGCCCATTGGAGGGAGGAGGGTACGTCTGAAACTACAAAACAATATTATCTTTCCCCCTTCCCCCCCTCAAAGAAATTATGATTTGCCCTTGTTTCGGGGTAGCTAGAGGATCCAGGAATTCCCTTGCATTCTTGTTATGTATTTCTAGACCTTTCTTACCTGCCTATGACCCTGGCATGGTGTTCTCCTTTAGTTCCGCGCGCTGGATCGAAATTCCGCGAGCTGAGATCGAATATGTCTCCCGGCTGTGTAGATTCGCCGAAACAAACGTGTCCACAGCTTGCGCCGTTGAAACCTTGGCGTCAAAAGAGTGGTAGCACCGAGTTGCACTGACCATTCGGCAAAGGATACCCCAAGCAATGCTGGGCTGTCCAAACTGATCCTCTGCAAAAAAGCTTAACTTGTGAGTTGAATGGACAAGTCGCTCAACCCTAAAAAAGAACTAAAAAGCTAAGGGGGAGGCTGGGAACCACCAAGAATGCTCAAAGGCGGCCAAGTATGTGCCGGTGAATGTCTCCCTTGCCTTCCAATGTGCTTTCGATTTGCCGCACATCATACGGGACATTTGTTGGGATGAAGGAACTGTCATGGGTTTGTTGAAAAGACATGGCAAACAAAACTACCCTTTTGTTCAGTGGTATTGTTGAAAACCTGGTTTTCCACGATAAATACCTCCTTTCCTGGAGGACCCTTTGATACACCAAAAAGTGCTCCGGACAGTTCTTGATACAACCGTTTTTTCTGCTCAAATCCATTTCGAGCACTTTTCGAAGTTGCCTAGCTGCTCGGGTGAACTGCTCGAGAGAAAACAAAGCCGCAACTCGAGAGCAATTTCCCGCTACTTGGGCGCACTTTTCCGCAACTCGGGCGCAATTCCAAAAAGTATGCAAAGCCAAAGCGCTGTCCCGCAATCCGCGTATTGGCGTGTGTTTGCATTTGCCATTTGTCGCACCCTTATGAATTATGTACCACGAAAGCCACGAGTACCATCGTCAAAGCTCCGTTTGTTTGGCGTATGGTCATGGCTTCCTCAAAACGGAATCATCATAATACTAAGGCTCCTTACAACCATATTGACCATCCCTATGAACCCCAAGCAAGGAACTGGTCTTTTGACCATATGCCGGAGACCGATTTCATATGCCGGAAAGCCGAGCAGCAATGGTTCACGTCCATGATCTCGAAGAGACTCTCGGCCTCTTCCACGCTGATGCCCAAGAGGCCTGCGGCGCGAAACCAAGGCGCAAGTGGGGGGAACCCATGCTAGGTCTTACAGATGTCAGAGGTTAGAATAAGGGTACCATTTTTTGTCTGTAGTCTATTTTAGGAGGGGAACCCTCCCCCCAAAAAGAGTACAAGGGCTTTACTGGGGGACCTAGCATGAGAAACAGAAAGGGTGGCCCTTGCTGGCTGATTTCAACGAATTCAAGGCAAACCATTCGGACGGGTGTTGGAATCGAGAAAACACCCAGAAGAACATCGGAGGTCGCTAGCAGGAGAAAACACAAGAGCCAGGCCGAGATACGGCCGTGGCTCAAAGAAGTGGTACCAAAATGGCACCTTGGCAAATGGAAACAAAGACCAAAACCTGCGCAACCCTGGCTCTTTAAATTGAGCCACACCCATATCTTGACAAACTATTTGTTCAAGGGTGCCGCAGAAAACCGGATGTCGCTGGAGGAGTTAGGACTTGAATCACAGAAGGCCTCCCGGGCCGATCTCTGGAAAGGCGGTCCGGGGCCCTGAGAAAACGAGCCCAGCTCCCATCATCAGATCCCGGCTCTTAGCCTGAAGCATTTCAGGAAACCATGGATGCCTTGAAACATAGGTGCTCCCTTTCGCGGGAGCTACAGGAACAAAAGGGATCACGGTGCTTCCGCGCGGGGCTCCGAGACAACCGTGGTCCCGCCTAGCTTCTTCACCAGCGACGGGATCCTGGCAGGTTTTGACGCTAACAAGCCGTATTGCTGTGTCTTTTTGAGGGTACCCCATTTTCTGTTTGGTGTTTAAAAAGGGAAACCAAAAAGACAACTGCAATTTTGGGGGTGATCGTTTGTGGTTTCAAAGGGAAACCAAAAGTCGCACCACAACTCTGCTGCTGTTTTGCTTCTTTGTTATTTCTTTGGGGGAGGGGGTTCCAAAAAAAGACATGCCATGGCAAAACGAGCGGCGTTGATCCTATGGACACAATGCACCAGGGTGGATGAAGCTGGGGACTAGCCACCAATCCAACTGGTGCCGTTTGTGTTGAAGGAAGTGCTTGGATGCTTCACCCTGTGACAAAGATGCTGGACAATAAACGGGTCACCACATGAGACCTTGTCTTTGTTTTTAGGAACAAGACCCAATCATTCTGGCTTGCTTTTTGGTTTTCCGTTGAAACCCACAAAGAAAAGGGGTACCCTCAAAAAAAAAAAGAACGACCCACCCACGGGGGAAACCACCCATGGCTCGCCATCGTTTCTGACTTGGTCTCAAGTTTTTGGGTCGGGAACCCCAGAACGTGTGGGGCGTTCCTTTCGATCTCCTGACGGAAAGCCGCCCAAAAACGGGTTCCAACCATGTGCTTCGTTTGATTTCAAGGAACACCAACCAAAAGGGGTTCCACCCAAAATACAAGCATGGCAAACCCGTAGACTACCAGTTGGTCAGTAGCCAGTGTCACTTTGGGTTTGGCGGAAATTACTACAACCTGGGCTCCAAAGACACACACACACACACACACGCCGCCATTGTACTGACCTTTGGTTTCTGGCGAGCATGCAAGGAATCATGTGCGGGCTCCCTACCTCAATTGTGGAAACATCATCAAATCATCATGTGGCTGTGGACAACAAATAAGCCACCAGGGGACCAGAGATTCTAGTCCATGTTTCCATTTGCCAGGGTTTTCCATTTTGGGTACCTATTTTTGGCCACAGCCATATCAGCGAGTTTGCTTTGGATGCCCCCCACGGCCCCGTTGCTCAACTGGTGTTTGGGAAAAGCCTGCCGCTTGCTCAAGTTGCTATTTGAATTCTGGTCAAATGGGTGCCCATGATTTTTGCAACGTTCAACACGGAACTCATGAAGTAACTTGAAGACAGCTATGTAAATATGAACTGCATGCTTCTTCTATCATTGCGTCGTTTGCAGTCTGATCTATGTTGAACCACTATTCTTGATATTGCAGCAGTTGTGCTCAAAGGTCAACTTCGGATTCACCCGGAGGACGTTTTAATCGATTCCCCACTGAAGGCGGCCCAACCGATTAGCCCACATGGAACCCTCCAGAAAAAAAAGGCTCCTTTGTGTCCGAGGAAAATGGTCAAAACTAGGTCCTGGGGCTCACTTCAGAAGTTGAAGTTGATTAAAAAAAGTACACCCTTCCTCCCACTAACATGGCACCTGAGGGAGGGTACCTGGAAGATCAGTTTCCTCTTGGAGGGACCCCCTGTCAGGAGCCTTGTTAGTTGGAGGGAGGGTAAGTTTCGAGTGGATTGGACAACCAAAAGAAGCCAAAGCTTGACCCGCCACTAAAAAGGCTGTCGTCAGATCCCCTGCCAAAAGTGTAACTTCTAGTAGGTTTGATAAAAAGGACCACCGCTAAGCCAAGTGAGAGCAACTAAACACCTATAAGGAACTGGATGGCTTGGAACCCCCAGGACTGAAATGGTCCAAACCCGAAAAGTCAGTTTAGGGTCCAGGAACTCAGGAAGTGAGTTGCAACCGTTGTCCCCTGGAAGGGTTCTTAGAACCTTGGTATCAGACCTTCATGGCCCGAATCGGTGAAAGCTCGATGGACGAAATCCTGCACCAACTTGAAGCTATGGGAAACCATGGTTTGGTATTCACAGGGGAATCAAAGCATTCCAGGGATTCTGAACGGTGGTGCGGAATGGATATTGTCCATCCACAGTATTGCTTTCATGGTGGCAACTCTCCGAAGCCCAGCGGTCCTGATGAGCTTCTTGAACTCCTTCTGGGACAGGTCCCCGGAGCCATCCCGGTCGTTGGCCCTCAGCTCCTCCACCACGGACTCCAGCAGGATCTCGGTCACCAAAATCCAAATCGCCACTTCGGTGCTGTCCGCGAAGTGTTTAACGTGTTTTCCAACATCTTCCGCAGCTTTCTTTGTCTATGTTTTTGGTCTGGTGTTCTGCGTTTGCAACAAGTGTCGCCGGAAAGAAGTTTCAACCGAAGTTTCGATGCTTGCTTTCGGGGATCTTTCTAAATAAACAACGTCTGATTGACGTGTCCGGTGAAAAACAGTTGCACATGGGCTCCCCCCAATTTGCATAACAGAGCAAAATCAATTTGTGCGATTTGGAGGGCATTGCAAAACTCGAGGCCGCAGGGGGGGAGGGGGGGTCCAAGAAGTTAATTTCTTTCCTATGTGAACTTCTGTTGAGAAAGAAGAAGCACATTCCAAAACGGAGTCCCCCATTTCCTCAACTGGTGTCCAAGTACTTTTAACAACAAACATCACAGCACAAAGGACACTAACAGGACACATGGCAACCGAAAGGCAAAGTTGGCTACTTGCTTGCTGTGTGGTAAAATCGCCGTCCATGTTTGCTCATTGATCAATATTCCCTTCGGCCACCAAATGACCATGGGATTTTTTCCCATCTAGCGGGAGACATCATCGTTTTAAATCGGATTTCCCCAATGGTCATCATATGCAAAGGACCTTTTGATCAGAAAGGCGCTGCCTTCGCTGCAATATTCAGCTGTTTCAGCTCTCTGCAAGCTCTATGGTTCGGAGGTTCCAGCAAAAAAACCGGGCAGTTCAGTGGGCTTCAGTGAGATCTGGCTGGGTTCCGCCCAGTCGTCCATGTCTGGGATTTTTTTTGTGAGAGTTTCCCGAATCCAAAGTTGACATGCGGAGCTTCTACTTGGAACAACCCTTCGCATGGTAGCAAACAACTTCGCTTCTTGCACCCCACTATCAATGAACAGAAGCAAAAAATCATCAAACCTAAATGCATGCCAACAACGGTGAACAACCGACCGTTTCACTGCGGTAAATGCTTGTATTCGTGCGGTACCCTGACCATGGTGACATAGCCTAGCAAGGCGGACCTTTCCGATAACTTAGCAAGTTCTAGGATATATGATAAGCTGTCTCACTTCCTGAGTGGATGGGCCAAAAGTTGTCTAAACTCTTAGTCTACATCTAAAATAATATTCCTAAAAGCTTGAAAACCACAAACAAACAACAATGATGTTGGTTGGCTTTCAAGAGAAGCCACGAGGACAAACACCGGTGCGGGTTCTCGGAACAAAGCTGTGCTGCATCAAAATAAGAGCACCCAACAAAATGCTCAGTTTCCTTGTGGGCTCCCTTTAAACCAACTCCAATGTTGGGGGGTCCCCTACAGAAGGGAGGTGGGGGGGTTGGAATCCTATCGATTGACATGGCCTACCTGACAATTTCCACAGTCAAACAGGGGATCCTGAACCGGGATGTGGGTTTCCTGTTGCTTTCCCTTTGCCCGCAAGAACAAGGGGTTCAAATCCCCCAATCCAAACGTGCAAAGCCAAGTTCGGCTCCATGCAAAGCTATATTTCCTTACAAACATATGCACCTTCATCAAGAAGCTTTATGCCCCCTAATTGGTTAGGATGTTGGTGTCTTTTTGAGGTACCCTTTTTTCATGTTGTTGAAGGGAAACCAAAAGGAGCAACACAAACTAGATCTCTCACTATACAGAACCCCCCCCTTCAAAAGCTGATCAATTTACGGGGTTTCCATTGAAACGATCGCCACTTTTGGAGGTTCCCTTTAAAGGGAAATGGAGGAACCTCCCCCACCGTTTTTGGTGACATGTTACGCGTGCAAATCTCATCGATCCAAGTTGCTGCTTCCATTCGCAGTCGGGCCTCGGCGATTTTTCAGTCGGGACCCCAATGGAAGGATCTGTGGCCATGGGGAGTCTCTTTTGGCATCACCCCAGATCCCCTGCTCAAAGTGAAAAACTTGTGGGTTAACTACGGAAACCCAACCGCTAGGCCAACTAAAACCCACCAAACACCTAAGGAACCGAACGGCTCGGTTCACCGCCCACCTTTCTGGCCTCGTTTTCCTGGTTTCAATCATGAAACCAACAAAGGGTACTCTCGTGCCCAGGTGCAAATTCTCACTCTGGCGAAGATCAAGGGGATAGATCAAAACAGGTGGAACTTGTGGCCTCTACTTTCAGAGGTCGAACTCTATGGTTCAAGGGACGGAGGGGGTTTCTGCGGTCAGCGTTTTTGTTTCTTGTTCCTCTCTCGCAGGATGAACGGGGATTTGGTTGCACATGTGGATAGTGCTGTTGATCTTAGTTGCTGAGTGGATGGCCCAAAAAAAAGATCCAAACTTTAGATGTATACCACTAAAATGGTCTTCCCAAACAGCTCGAAGTTCATGAACTCAGGAAGTCAGTGATGGTCCCTGGGTCCTGTTGCCCTTTCTGCCACTTTGGGGATGACTCCGAGGATCTGACTCGATAGTTTACCACTGGCATGGTCTTCCCACAACGCTCATTTGTTTTTTCCCCCAGAAACATAAATATATTTCCAGTCGTGATAGATTCCCTTTAAAACCAACAAGGGGAAATAACTATTCCTAAGCAACTCCAGGAACTCGGGGAGTGAGGGACGGTAACATGCCACAGCAAACAAATCAAAACCCATGCGGATTTGTCCGAGCCCATGACTCCAACCAGCTCTCCAACTCATCCATGGGTCATTAGAAGGGACCCCCCCCCTGCCCCCGCAAATGCGTGGTTTCCCGTTGGAGAAACATGCCCGGCAAAAAGGCACCCCAAAATATCACAGACCCAACAAGTCCCAAGAAAGTGCCAAAAAAGGAAGCAATACGCCCAAGATGTTCAAGCAACCAACATTCATCAGCGTATCAAGCAACAAATGAAAGGATTTGCAAGCAAACAACATTCATTGACATCAACCCACAAACTACGCTTTATCAAGGCAAGCAATATCAACCTTTCAACGTCAAACTGGGGGATCCCAACGCCAAAACAATGTGGTTTCCCTTTTGGTCTCCCTTAGACCAACCCAAAAAACACCCTTAAAAAAACCAACTCGCCGTCTGAACGTCAATCCTGCCTGCTCCGCGCGGTCGCGGCTGTCCGCAGTGATCACTGAGATACGCTCCACCATGACCTCGGGTAAAAGGAGCGCGAAACATAGGGTTCCCCCCACAGCTGAAAGCTGCGAAGTATCTGCCCAAATGGTCTGGTTGAAGTTCGTGTTGATCGTATAACTCCATCCCAAACAGACGCTTTGGGCGCAAAACGGAATTCGCCAGAAATGTTTGAAGGGAGTTTCTGCAATCGCAAATAAAGCGTTAGCGCTTTTTTTGAGGGTGGCCCGTTTTTGGTTCTCTAAAGGAAAACCAGAAAGAAAGCCTCTGTTGGGCCGCGAATGGCACCTCCGTGGGAGCTAGGGTGCGCTTGTTGTGCCCTCAAGCGTCGCAGCGAGCCGTAAGCAAGTCATGCCGGTTCTGGAGTGGTGGCAAGCGACAAGCGACTTCTTGAGTCGTTGACGCCGTGGCAAGCCAAAGGCATGCATGTGTATCCTGCGGCCCTTCCTCCGCGTACTTAAAGAGAAACTTCGGACAAACGTAAACCAGCCGCTCGGTCCCCCAACCGCCACCAGGATGTTGAGGGTCCCGAAGCTCACCACCTCGCGTTCCGAGCGGGCGAGCGCCACCCATATCTTGTGGCACGAAGGGAAACGACGGGGGAAACCACGGGAAAAACGCCTGGACCCTCTAAAACTACCTGGAGTCTCCTTCTGACCCTTTGAAAATGGTTGGTCATTACCCTAAAGAATGGGGTCATGGACCTATTTTTAAAGGGTCGTGGACCCTCAAACTGCACTCTTTTTGTCCAATATATGATATTGTCAAACAACATGAGGTGAGTTCCTTTGTTTGAGGGTCGAGGTAGACGTTTTTACAGAAGGTATCATGTGTGGGGAATTTGGGTTGTCCCCCACATCCTCCAGAAACCAAGAGAAGACCACCAATACGTCTCGTACCCTTCTTGCGCTCCATACTAGTTATTTGATCCTGTATGGGTTTGCTTGCCACCCCTTGCTCCTCTTTTGAGTTCTTTGCCATATTTCCACGGAAATAAGCAAATCGATTCTTGAAGATGTTCCTGCTTTGGTTTGGTTCCCCATTTTGTGCTGGGGAGAACATGCTGATCCTGGTGTGATTGGTCTGCAATGTTTGCTGGCTTGCTTGCAGTGTCTTGCTCTGTCTTGCTCTGTCTTCCTTTGTTTTGTGTCGTGTTGACTTCTTGACTGTTCATGTCTGTTGTGTGTTGGACGCTTCAAACCAACACGGCATCCCATCCCCCCAGAGACAAGGCACCCGATCGGATCGCGAGAACTCGCGATCCGAGGGCATCTCTGGCTTAGGAGGCGTGGGTGTGAAGCTCCAAGAGGAAGCCAACAGGCACCCAAACACTTTCCTTTGCAACCCCTGGTATGGTAGCAAACAACTTGAAGTTTCTTGCAGCCCCCTACAAAACTGGGCTGCCCGTTCTCTGATCCCCCGCTCAAAGTGACTAACTTGTAGTGGGTTAAATGGAAATCTAAACACTAAAAGGCTAAAAAGCTAAGGGACCGGATGGCTGGGAGCCCCCAAGAAAAAATAAACAAAACAAAACGAAAGCAGCTTCCCAAAAACCGCGAAGGCGCCCAGAAAGGTCTCAACCGCGCAACCCTGATCCACCAAACAACATTGTCATTTTCGTTCACACGCTCGGGTTGCTAAGCTGCCCTTCTTACGTCCCCGCATTTAAAAGAAAGAACGCGGACTGGACTGCCGCCTAGTTCAGAAATCCTTGTAATAATAATAAAGGCGCCCATTTCTTGTTTGCGCTGATTTGATGTTTAGCCCCCCCCCCAAAAAAAAAAAGAGTACAAGTACGTAGAATCCAGGGGGTGGAATGCACGGGCAGCTGGCCAAGAGGGTTCAAAGGTGAGGCCCCTCCTTTGAATCTCTTTTGGCTGTGTCTCAAAATCGGGGAACCCGCAAAATGGGCGTCGGTTTCCTTGTAGATTCCCTGTACAAACAACCAACAAGGGCGGTACCGAGCCTCCAACAAGAAGGACCTCGACCCCTTTCTCATTCAGAAAAAAACAAAAAGCAACAACCTCCCAACGCATTCGGATCCCAAGGATTGGCCCTCAAAAGAAGCAACAAAACAGAAGCAACAGGATATCTGCTCCTGATAGCTTTCCCCACGCCGATGTGTTTTGTCCCAATGGAGTTTTGGTGCTCGGGGGCTTGGCCACAGCCAGTGGCTTGGCATCCGGGCGAAGATGCAAAGGAAAAGAACCGGCGTGGCCATCGGCGCTACCTGGGGGGGATGGGTGGGGTGGGGTTGGGTCGGGTTGGGTAGGGTTGGGTGGGGTTGGGTGGGTTGGGTGGGGTTGGGTGGGGGCGAGTGGCCGTTTCGTGGCCCATTGGTTGTCCCCCCCGCTTTTCAGAAAAAAACGTTGTGGGGGGTGGGGGGAGTTCATTGGCTGTTACTCCCTCTTCGACCTGGGTGATTTCATTTGCTTTACCCTCCCGATTCCATGCTAAGCTCCAAGACCTCATTGGAAGACTTGTTTTCCCATCGGAGGCAACTGGTTGGGGGAGCTTCGGGCTGTTCGTCTCACCGCAAAACTGGTCCGAGCCCTTGCCTGTTCATGCTGATTGATGGGCCGTGTGTGGTGACTTTTGTGCATGTAATGGATGTCTTTGAAACACCGAAGGCTCGAAACCTCCTTTTGCTTTCCCGAAATCAACCGAAGGGTCAAACAGCTCTTTGAACAAACCAAAAATCCACTTCCTGTGGTTGAGGCCCTTCACGCCTTCAAGCGGCCGCCTGAAGGTGACGGGTCAAAAGAATCACCCCGACGTCTGCGGCTCAAAAAAGGCACCAAATCGGCAGATTGCAAAATGCAACCAAAGACTAACACCTGCGTACCCTAGTCTATAATTCTGAGCCACACGCAAATGAAATCACGCGAAAGGTTGAAGGTAACGGCAAATGGTACAACACAGAGTCAACATCTGGTGCCCCGACCTGTCGAAAAGGTGATCCAAGTTGGCTGAACAGATTGGCAGAATGACGATTTTGCTCCCCTCCAAGCTTGATTTTTTGGCCACCACCAAAAATAAGGCTCAACATTTTACCGGACCTAGTATGGCGGGCCTCATTCTGGTGTCGTTTGAGGAACTCGCATATGACACAAGGGGAGACAACAAGTCTGATTGCGGCATGTAACATGTTCCTTTCTGCCCATTTGCGACATCCATGGACAGTGCCAGCCCTGCAGTGTTCACGGCCCATTTAGAGCGGCCGGTTGGGGCCAGAGAGGGGAAGCAAGAATATTCACCGTTGGCTGTGGCTCAAAAACATAGAATGGCCCCCTGGGTAAATGGAACCAAGGACTAAAACCTGCGGCAACCCCGGCTCTAATTTTTTGAGCCACACCCAGTTGAAGATCTTGCCCAAAGAAATACCCGACTTTAATTCAGCTTCCCTCCAAATCGGTGGTTTGGATTGGTTAGGTTGACCAACTCAGGGTTACCCGATGAATTGGCAAACAGAACAAACACAGAAGCCGATTGGCATTGGACTACCCAAAACCTGTGGATTTGTCGAAACTAGGACTTTTTGCAATGTTCCCGTGTCAAACAGCCAATTGCTCTGCATTCAGTGCTATTCACAATAGCAGGAAACATATGTGGGCACTTGAACCCCCTGACAAGCGCACTCTCGAAAGAAAATACACACACACACACACCCATGCGCTTAACTCTTTTGGGACATACCCCTCATCACGCGGAGTCAAGATAAACCTCGGTGTTTGAAAATCCATTTCGCCCCACTCTGAAACCCTGGAATGAGTTGATCCCCGCTGCAAATACCAACAAACCTAATTAATTTAAACCATGGTTTCAGTTTCAACATGGTGCGAACCGATTTTGTTCATCCATGGTATGAATTTCCCGGACCTTTTCGCGGCGTCGCGACCCTCAAGTTGAGGTTTGTTTTTACGTGTTCGAGGTGGATGTCCTTTGCGCGCCCTTTGGATAAAACAAGAGGACAGGAACACGTTCGTCCCAGTGCGTTTCAACAGCTTCCTGGAGCTGAGCGCGGAGACGAATCGGCAACAGCTTGATCACCTACCAAGGGAAACTCCCCTGTGGGTGAAACAAGGGATGCTTAAAGCCACCAAAAGGAACCTGTCATTATTTAGGGAGCCCTATGTGTAAAATAGGCAAAACACCGGTGCAACTTTCACAAGGGACCCTATGACAAGCACATCATTTATGTTGAAAAAACTATGTCCCCCAACTTCTGTTTGCTAGCAAAATATGTCCAGTGATAGATTCCCTTCAAAACCAACAGGGGAAAATCGAGAAAAACAAAAACATATTCTTGCCCCCCCACTCAACAAAAAAGAAGCGAAAACACGCGACACCCCCGCCAAAGGGGGAAACTGTTCGCCGGTGCGCCTGAAAGAGCGGGCGCGCGACGTCATCCGACCAGCCGTCGAAGGTGGCCACCTGAAATCAGCCCCTAGGACAAATTGAGATGCGACCCAAAACCCACCACAAGTCTGGGGTTAACAGAATTACTGGGGTCACACCAATTCTTGGTGACCCAAAACCCATGTAACGAGACCACGTGACCCCTCAACAATTCAAGTGAATGCTTGGCATTGCCGCGAACATGATGGTTGGTGATGTCCCCCTACAAGGGGTCAAACTCTGTCTATTCAGCGGTCGCAAGCCCGTTTCTCTAAAGATACCGTGAATGGAGAAAATCCGTTCGCACCAGGTTGAAATCATGGTTGAAACTACTGTTTGTTGCTATTGGCAAGGGAATCACCATTCCAGGGTTTCTTAGGGCCCCTGTGAATGTGGGGTCAACCTGGTTATTTGCGGTGAAAAGCCCCACATGGCTGACCACTTACTAACTTGGCGGAACATCCAAGTTCCACGGTGTGGTTAAAGCGAAACCACCAAAGGGATAAAATTTATTTGGAGATTCCATATCCTATCTTGAGACACACCCACAGGCGTGCGGGGACCCGTTGACCCGTTGACCTGCAAAGTTTCACCTCGCTCGTCGCTGTCCCACCTCCGCTTTTCGGGGGCTATCCGAACTCCGAGACGAAAGGCACCAGGGGTTTAGGAAAAACGGCCCAGCCGGCCCCGGTCGAGGGGGAGTTGTGAGGTCCACAGGGTTTCCGATCTTTAAGCCCAACCTGAAACGGCGCGGATTTTGCAACAAAACGCCCCGCAAGCGAATTGAAACCAAGGCAGGCAGTCCGATTCACCGAATTGGGCGACCTTTGAGGTTTTTGGGTCGGCTCGAAACAAAATAGGTGCGGCTTTGTTTGAAAGTGCCCTCTTCGCGTTTTCTTCGATGGGACACCCAAAGAAACACCATCATGTCTTTGTTGTTGTTGGTGTTTTTTGCGGGGGGTCCCTCAAAAAGAGACAAGACCAATTTAAAGGGGCACCAAACAAGGGAAGCATAGGGAACCCGGCTCTATCAAGAGTGGGTTTCGGCTTCTCATCCATCCCCGATGAACACAAGAAACTCGCTGCCTGCAGCATGGTGAGCATGGACCGCAGAACGGAGCCCACGTACATGTGACCCATGTGCCAGAACTCGAACGCGAAATAGTCTTGCCCGCCCTCGGTCCAAGCGGTCAGTACTCACACCTGATCTGTGTGAGTTGCGATGATTCACCAATCGGAAATATCGGATATATACATATATATATATATATGGTACAGCGTTGCCAGTCCCCCCCCCCTCCAATGGTCATGGGTCAGACAAGTAAACCCCCCCCTGTGGTTGTGGCCCTGTGGTTGGGTTGTGGTGGTTTAGGGTTGGTTTAGGGTTGGTTTAGGGTTGGTTTAGGCTTAGGGTTTATTGTTTAGGGATTGGTTTAGGGTGTATTTAGGGTTGGTTTAGGGTTAGTTTAGGGTTGGTTTAGGGTTGGTTTAGTTTTAGGACTTACTGCTTAGGGATTGGTTTAGGGTGTATTTTTGGGGTTAGTTTAGGGTTGGTTTATGGTTGGTTGCGGGTTGGCTTGTCCTGGGGGTGGGGGTGCCGGGGTGTCGGGGTGCGAGTTCAGGGGGTTGGGGTGGGGGTGAGACCGAAGGTGCCAGGATCCGGGGGCTCGGGCCGGGGGGGGGGGGGACGGGACCATATATATATATATACCTGGAAAGGCGTAGTTGCTTGTTTTTAAGTGCCACAGTGGAAAGTGGCCGTATTTGGCGTAAGTGGCGTATATTGCAAAACATGGATTTTTCATACCTCAGTTGCTGCTGAGAAGTATCAAGCATCATGGATGATGCAAAGATGTGGCATAAGATCATGCAACAAGCATTGCAAGCATTTACATGACATCATTAGCAAATCCATGCATAAGTTTTAAGGATGCATCATCAGCAACACAAACTCTGAGCAGCATCGGTGCATGCAACGAAACACACATGGCTCTGATGCGACCATCGATGCGGCCAGTGGCATGGCATCAGGCAGGGTCGAGACGTTACATTATTTATGCCATAGCCCTAACCCATCCTAACCCTGTCCCCAGCCGCGTCCACACACTCGAGATCGATCTTTTTCACAGGCCGAGCTGATGCTATGGACAGCTCGAGCGTCTTCGATGCCAGGCTCCTGCGCCATGTTTGATCGATCGCCCGAATGAGCATTCATTGGCACATGGCACAGAGTCAATGTGGAAATGCATGGATCGACACACATGTATGGCTTAATTGCAATTTAAAGAGGATCGAGCCTAGATCAGGGTGCCCCTTTGCTGCCCATGCCGGTGGTGCCTCTTTGGAAGAGGTGGGAACGCATCGTGCTCATTCGGCGGAGGTTCGAGAACGAAAGGCCGTGGATCACAGAGCCACCCAGCGAGGATGGGGAGGAGGTGCGCCCCAACACGAACTTCATTAAGTTGAATGCCCCCGCGCTGATGGAGATGCTGGAGGTTTTTGGGGTTCGACCTCGGCCTGGGGTGAAGAAGCTGCAAAAGCAGGCTCGAGTGTGTGTGTGTGTGCGCGAAACAACCGTATACGTGCGTTATATAAAAAAATATTCAGATCATGAAGCATGTGATCGAACATTTTGATGCACCGAACGGATCGTTTTTTACTTCTCCAGTACGTGTCAGGTGGAGCAGCTCTATGAGGAGATGAGCTTTGCGCCCAGGAACGCCAACCAGGCCTACATGGATGCTTGGACACTGAAGCGCCTCTTCGGCTTCAGCATTCGGAGGCAGAAGGATGCAGCCAAAAGAGGTCAGCAGCCACGTGCAACTAGTCAGCACATGTTAGTGCATAGTCCTAGGCATGGCAATGATTCACGGTGCATGCCCGCATTTTCCCAGAGCGCTTCTTCCATGCTTACATCCTAGGCAAAAGCCGTTCGGGAGCTTTTTGAAGCCATTGGTGAGGCACGCAAAAAGGCAGTTCTGCAGCGAAGGCTGAAATCTGCGAAAGACGGCGGTAGCGATGAGGAGGTCAGCGACAGCCAGGAGTCCTCGAATGCGAGCATCGTGGATGACGACACGGAGTACCAGGCCAGTGATCGCGACGATGTGGATGAGCCTGCTGAGGCGCTTGCGGATGAGGCAGCTGCGGATGATGATGAGGCATCTGCGGATGAGGCAGCTGCGGATGAGCCTGATGAGGCGCCTCTGGATGAGGCAGCTGCGGGTGAGGGTAAGCCCGACGAGGTGGCGGCCGATAAGGCAGATGGGGGCACGGGCAAGCCCAACGAGGTGGCAGTGGATGAGGCAGCTGCGGAGTGTGTGGATGAGCCTGTCGAGGCCACGTCTAGTGCGGCTGTTGGCGGTCAGGTGGCTCTGATGGCTGTCGAGGAGGAGTTTGTGCCCAGAGCTCCTGTGGAGATTTCGGAGCAGAAGGATGAGGCCAAGCCGCTTGATGCCAGTCAGGCGGATGATGTGGTGGTCATTTCGCACACGCCCCCTTCAGCCACCCAAAAGCGAGCCAAACTTCAAGAGCTGATTCAGCACATCAACAAGATCAAAGCAGATCGGGATGGAAACTTATCATTAATGATACGCATGCATGAGTATGTGGCAATGTGTCAGTCGATCAAACCTCAATGCATGGACCGAAACCCAATTTAACATGATAAATGCATGGTTCGAAACCCGAATGTTCTTTGTGCAGGCTTCAGTGTGGTTTGTCCCCATGACCGACTGCCCGAGGAAAGGTGGCTCCTGGTGGAAGCGCTTCACCGTGCTCAGCTGTTGGTCTGTCCTTGGATGAGGCTGGGCGAGGAAAATATTTGTTTCATGAATTCAATTAAACAGGCGCAGAAGCAAACGCCTGCATCATGCATGTTTGAACCATTCCCCTGCTTAGATGGAGACCTGCCCCTACGACCCGCAACATGCGGTACTACCTCATGTGTCTCCAGTGGCACTGTCTGAAAAACGTGGGTATTTTGCGGGCAGATCGCACAGCGCCAAGATGAAGGCGCTCGGGGTCATTTGGTGCACCAACATTCCCGGATGCATGTGCATGTATACATGTTCCATGCAGTGTGCAAAAACATGCATGCAAATGCTTTGTGTGTGTGCGTGCACGATGCGTAACAGCTCGCAGGAAAAGTTCAACAAGGTCAAGGCGCTGTCCCCACCTTCCACTCGAGCTGCACCTGCGAAGGACAGGCTTCGATGACCAGACATTTGCACGTGCATGTGAGTCTTGATGGAATGCATGTGCATGCAACTGCATTTGTGCATTCACTGGCCAGGACCAAACAGTGGAAACGATCATCGAGACGCAAATCGAGGACAGCATTCTAATTGTTTCATGCTTACGATCGAGCTCAAATTATGGATGCATGTCATGTGATCGCTAGCTGCAGGACGATTCCCAACGATTGGACTGCACCACCAAGAAGCTGCAGCTTTCTCCCCCGAAGGACTTTGCAGTTTCACGATTGGTGCATGGATCATAAGTTCCATTGAGTTCCATGCACTTAACCCTGAAAATGGTTATTAAGCATGCATGCATGCAGCTCATGATGCTTTTTCTTGAATGCATGTATACACATGCATGCATGTGCATTCAACCAGGACCCAGACTCGCAGCCAATCTTGGAAAGCGCCCAGCAGGACTTTGCGGTTTTGCATCGTTTTGCAATGCAGCGATCATCAACTACCCCATCTCATGAGCGAACGAGACACGCGCAGGACCCAATCTTGATCGATGACACGCTGCCTTTGGATGTAAAAGCCACCGACAAGGACGATCAAGTGTACATGTGTGCAACATGTTCATGTGCAAGTGATTTTCCAGCATGCGCCGGCACACGCAACCTGCAGGATCCTGATTTCAAGCAGGAGTTGGCCGCCGATGACTCGGAGGACTCATTTGACTTCGACCCCAGCAGCATGGTGAACCCGGACACGCAGCGCGAAACCAGATCTCACAAGAAGAAGACGACAAAGAGGGGTCGCAAGAAGGCCCGCTCCAAGATCTGGCGCAGCAAGAATGATCGTGGCCAGGTCGCAGCCAGTGACGCAGATGATGAGGACAGCCCATGTGAGGGCTTTGAGGTTAGCAAGACGCCCACGGGGAGCTCAAAGGACAAGTTGCCCAAGAAAGCAAAGGTGAAGGCAGCTTGCAAACCCAAGGCTGCAGCAGTCGAGCCCAAGTCGCGTGCCAAAGCCAAGGCTGCAGCCGCCAAACCCAAGGGGCGTGCCAAAGCCAAGGCTGCAGCCGCCAAACCCAAGGTGCGGGGCAAGGCCAAGGTGCTGGCTGTGGCTGAGGAGATCCCTGAGAAGATTGAGAAGCCCAGCAAGAAGAGGATCCTGAACGAGGGAGAGCCGGAGGACAATCCCGGAGACAACGGGGACAATCCCGAGAGGGTGTACGGCTGTTCTCGATGCAGGTATGCAGCCAAAGGCTGCATCACGTGCAAGAACCCGGTTTTCAAGCCTCGTGGCCCGCGGAAGGCCAAAAAGAAGCCGGAGGGGACTCTATAGGCTTTTTAGATCTTTTGGATCATTGTAGCATGATGGGTTTGCATCTTAAGCTGATGCACTTGGGGTTGAACCATGCGAACATCGCCAAACGTGAAGTGAAAATGGGACGTGCTGCCACCTTGACCTGTAACATGCTTGAATCATCAACGTGTGCACGTTTATTTGACGCATGCATGTGTGCTATATGCATCGTGTGCCAGGAGCAGATCATGAGCCGGGCCTGGAAGATCCGGCGTGGCTTTCTCAAGGAGCACCATCGTCCAGCAGGTGCGCCCTCCCTCGCCTGCAGCAGTTTGAGGGATGCAGCATGTTTGATGTTCCAGGGTGCAGCATGTGCGTTTTCAGGTGCACGCATGTTCAATGCATTTTGGGATGCAATGCCTTTGATGCGTTTCAGGATCAAGACATTCACATGCAATGCATGCATACAGCATTGCAAGATGTGAAGCTTAACGCACGCATGCATGACAAGTTCACACCGGTGGGCCACAAATCATGGCATGCATGAGCAATCGGCTCGATCGACATTTGACTGCGCTGAAAGCCATGGAACCCCGCCCCAGACTGGCCCCGCTGCCTCCGAATGAGTTGAAGAGCCTGGTGTGGCGCTTGATCAAGGTGCAGGCGCCAGGAGCACCTAAGTTGCACCAATGCAAGGAGCGTGGCAATTCATTCTGGTTTTGGGGTTTTGGGTTTCTTTTGGTGTTAATTTCTGCTCATCGATCGAGGTACTTATCTTGATGGTCATTTTCCTGAACCACATCCGGTGCAACTTTGGGCAGGCCAGGCATCACATCAATCCAGACAAAAAATGTATATATGCACGCGTGCATGTCTCTTTTTGCGTCTGTGCCCTGCAATCCCTCGACGGGGTGGAGATGTTTGCTGGCCGGGCGACGGTGACACGGTGCCTGCGGGCTGGTGGCCTGAAGATTGCGGCCCTGGACATCGAGTACTGGGACCAGTATTTGGAGGAGCGCGAGAGAGATGGGAAGCCACGGCCTGCTGGAAACGCTCTGGACATTTTGTCGCCGAGTGGGTTTTTGCTACTTGACCATTTCATATTTGCACGCGCAAGTGCAAGTTGTTCTTCTTCTTTCATGCTGTGCGTGTGCTTTTTTGCCAAGGACAGCTGTGATGTCCATCATGCAGTGCCACCAGGATCGCTTCGTGGCGATCATAGCTATCGTATGCTCCAGCTGGGTGGCGATGTGTCGGGCAGGCTCAGGCCGCACATTTTTGAACCCATGTGGGTTTCCTGGCGTGGGCTTCGTGGAAAGGGGCAACCTCATGGCTTCGAGGCACATCGCTTGCAAAAGACATGCACGAGCAATTTTAAACTTGCATGCAGATTGCCCTGCAGGCTGGCGCTGCTGCTCTACTTGATCCAAGCTCGTGGAGGAGCATTCTTGGTGGAGCAGCCTGGGAGCTCACTCCTTTTTCGGCATCCTCGGCTGGTGGACTTTTGTCGCCTCTTCAAGGTGCTTGGTGTATACATGCTTTTGTACTCATTGCACACGCAAGTGTAATGCATCATACATGCATGGATCGATGTGTTTTTGGGTTTAATATGCATGATGCGTAGCCCTGAGGTGTGGCGGCAATCATGGTGGATGCTTCACTTTGGAGGAGCTACCTGCAAGCGGACAAAGGCGTGGAGCAACCGAAAATGCGTCAAGTTGCTTGCAACGCGCCGCCTGACAAAGAAAGACCGCATGGCAGTGAAAGTGCATTTGGCAAAGCGGGTGAAAAAGGACGGCAGAACTGTCTACAGTGGTGTAAAGAAGAACTTGCAACGAAGCCAGCACCTTGACGAAAATTATAGATCATGATCGATCTGTGCATGTGTGAGTGTAGCTTGTTACAGCTTGTGCTTTGTTGCATCTAAGGGTGTATCCAGTGGGCCTGGGGCTGAAGATCGCCAGCATTTATGAAGATTTGATCAAGGGCCAGGGCGAGGAGCATGAGCTTTTGCATGAGCTCGACACTACTCAGGCGTGACCCCATGTAGGAACCCTATGGCAGTTGCATTTCCTCACACCTCCAAACCGTCCCTGACCCATTTTCGCTGGATTTGGTGCACCCTGCCAGGGCCAGACTGAGGATGAATTCGACCCTCGCAAGCTGCAGCTCTATCCTGAGTTCTTCGTTGATCCCTGGAATGATGCGGGGACCAGCCAGATTTTTGGCTATCTGTTGCAGAGCCGGCGATGGACACAGCCTATGCCTGAAATTGTGCGAAGGGCTAGGCTCATTCATTGTGATTTGCTGCTTCAGCCAAACGTGCACATATGAATGTGCGAATGTGGGGCTGTGCATTTTTGTGCAGTTTTGTGCAAACTGCTGGAACCCGTAAAGTGGCGTACGTTGGGCGTAAAGTGGCGTAAAAAAGCGTACGTTTTGTACACGCACATTCTGTACGGTTTCCGGCATGAATTGAATGCGTTGTGCATCTTGGCACTCGTTCGCACTCGCGTGTACGAATGCGCACATTTAGCAGGATTTTGGATTAAGCGCATTTTGCGATACTGAGCCATGCCTAGCTGCGAGACTCTTCGTGCCGGGATGTCCTTCCTGCAGGGCGAGGCATGCAAGGTTAAGGAGGAAAAGCTGGATGATTTGCTGGAGGCACATGCACTCATGCATTGCAATATATATATATATATCATGCGTGTGCGTGAACATTTGCAAATTTCGTGTGCAGGAAGCAAAGCGAGAGCTTGCTGGCTTAGATGGCGAGGATGGCGAGGACATGCAGGGCCAGGAATCTGCTGTTGAAACGCCTGCTCGCCTTGAAGTTTTTACAGAGACCCCTACACCCATCAAGAACATTGATCCGATTCGATTTTCGGGGTTTGCCAGCCCTGATGCTGAGACTCTGGCAGCTACTCCTGAGAAGGTGAAAAACTTCTTGGAACAGGTGGCCACAAGCCAGACCATGCTCGAGATCGATGAAATTGAGGATGATGAGCTTCAGGCTCTTTTTTCACACATGCAGGTTGCCGAAGATCCTTATGAGATATCCACCGAATCTTGGGCAAAACAATTGCATGGTCGACCATTGGTTTTGGCATGCCTTAGAAGCATGAAATTTAATTGGCCGCGCTAAGGAACCATTGCACGAGGAGGGAACCTTCACAGAGGAAGAGCCCGACGATTCAGCGGTGCTTGGGTCCCTGCTGGTGCTCACGGATCTTGAGGTGGCCAACACGGAGAAGGACTGGATCTCGAGCTTGCCTCAGGGCGTTTGCGCTCAACACAGTTGCTCTGTAGGAGGCTGAGGAGTCGCTGGAGAATTCGGCAGAGGAGGATCAGAAGAATCAGAATGCACCGGCTGCGACACATGAGGAGGCAGGGATCCAGAAGTGCACAAGGTCGAAATTCGGACATGCATGTTTGTGTCAATTGTTCAATATGCGACCGTTGAACCCTTAACTCTGCCCAGGAACCTCGGGAGACCAAGCCACAGCCCACCCCTGAGCAGCTCAAGCGCCGGGCTGCGATGGGAGCAAAGCTGCGCCGCTTGTGCACACGGAAGTCGGCCTCACGGAAGCTTGAGGTGCCGGATGACATCCATCGCCGTTGGCAGTCCAGGGGGCAGGAGAGGCAGGAACTTTTGGACATCTACATCAACTGCGGTGGTGACAAGGCTCATGTTTGTTTTGGGCGGTGGCTGAACAGGTTTAACACAAGTATATATGTACATGCAGCATGCAAATTGAGCGCAAACTCTGCGTGTGCAGTCCAAATTCATCAAGACCGTGACGCACAAGTTCAAGAAATCTCGGAAGGGCACCATCAAGGTGAACTCTGGGTTCTATAGCGAGGAGCAAATGAAGCAAAAGCTGAGCTATGGCCCGTTGGCATCTTAGTTGATCTCACCGCCAGTGTGAATGCTTGACAACCTTGAAAACTGAATTGCATGCATGCATTGCTTGTTGACCAAAGGAAGAGAATCGATGCCATCAAGCGCTTCTGTATGGCAAAGGGGCGGAAGGCGACCTACACACGGCAACTTGCACAATATTATTATATGGCTTCTTGTGTGTTGCCTAGAACCGGTTCATCAGAAAAAATGGAAATCGCAATGCCTGTTTTGAGCGTTTGATTGAACCTCCAAACTCACGAAAACACGACGCATGGCGTGTTTACAGGTCTCAGTTCATCCCTCACCCCAGCTCAAACCATTCCACATAATGCATATATTGTGAAATGCAGTACACTTGTGTTCCCTTCCAAGGTCTATAGGCATGCAAACCAAACCTATTGCAATGCGCCCTGTGTTCTACAGATCCTTGAAGATTAGGAACCCAAGCCACAGGAAACCCTCCCAGCCCCATCCCATATATAAAATGCAAATCAAGCTCCAAGCCGTCCCTGTAAGGAAGGACAAGTACGAGGGCTTCCTGTATTTTTGGGTGGAGGAATCCATCAGTGGCCAATTTGAAGAAAACGAAGAAGAAGAGTTGGAGGAGACCACATCTCTTGGGACAGGTGAGGTGAACAGCATCCAGATGGGCCTGCGCAACATGGCAGGCATGGCCTTGGGCGCGCCTATGCTGGAGGGTCCTGGCGGTGGCAGCTCCCATAGCGAGGACGATGAGGAGGAGGATCATGCGACGGATCCCGGGAAGAAGCAAGGCTTGAAGAAGCTTAAGAGGGAGAGGGAGGCCAGCCCGGACTTGGAGGACAGGTTGGGGTGTGTTGCAAATATTTTGCTGCTGAGTGACAACAGCACAAAGTACGTGTACTCCATAAGTAAGTTTACGTTTGTGACTGCACTCTCACACACACATGTCTCGATAGGCGGACGACTCCAACAAGGTCCTCAATGAGCTGCTCAAGGAGGCGGCGAAGTTGGAGACCTTGGCGAAGAAACTGGATGGTCATGCTGACGACCCCCAGGCCAAGAAGTTGGGGTCCCAGGTGGTGCACGTAAAACATTACGTTAATGATTTGATGCATATGTGCATGCATGCACTGATTTTGCATTGTGCGTGTGTATTTCAACCTGAATTTGCATTTATGGGCCAAGGGCAATCGATGAGCTTGGGCAACACCAGAGCATCTTGATCAAGCTGCATGATGCGGTCGGCGAGATGAAGGCCGTCATCGACTCAAAACACAAGTCCAAAGAGGAGACAAAGTTAGGAGCTTACCCATGCCATATATGCATGGGCATCTGAATTGCAACGCAAACATTTAATGACATTCTGCATGCATTTGTGTACACGGCGTGTTTCGATTTTTGAACCAACACTACCCGAGGAAGGTGAACATGGAGTTTGCTGAAAAGCTTCGTGAGATTGAGAGGGCGCCGCAACCTCAGCTGTGCAATTGCCCAATTCCTCATGGAGTGATCACATTAGAACACAATTCCTTGACTGATCCCTACTTGCAGCCTTTTTCTAATGTAAACTGAGGTGCAGTCGAGCAAATGTGGCATCAAACAAAGTCAAGAAGACCCTTGGCTTGTAAAATGGCTTTCAACCTATGCTGGGGTTTGTGCTTGAGTTGGCACGTATAACTTTACCTTTTAAAGGGGTGCCTTCCATTTGTGGCAGTGCAGTTGACCAACCTAGGACACTTCTCAAGAGATCTACGGCCCCATCGGACGGGAAGCCGACAAGCCAGCCCTCGAAACCCCGGGACACCGATGGTGCAAAGAAAAAGAAGGCGCCGGCCAAGAAGAAATCTGAGAAGAAGGCGGAGAAAAAGGCGGACAAGTGAGCGATCATCGCCTGGCCGAGGGCTTGTGTGGTTGGTCAACCAGCTTGTGCGGGCAGGCTCAGGCGTAGAGTGACCCCTTTGCACATGCAAGTGCCTTTGGCCATGCTGGTGCAAATTCATTTCGGGGGCATGGTGTCAAGCACCATCGATCATTCAGCTGTGCATAGTTGCCTATAGTGCAACGGTACTACCACTGCTGAGTGCGCCGGGGACAAAAATACAAGCCTTGGGGTTGAAACACTTCAAACACAAATGCATTTGCATGCATGCTACGTGCTTGATGGGAACGACCCGGTTTGAGCCCCCTTGCGCAGGTGGATCATCGAAGCTGGCGCCCGTGCAGAGGGCAGTGGCTGATGCAATTGGCACCGGTGTGCCTGGTCTGCACATATCATGCACGTGCTTTTTGCATATATGCAGCATGTATATCATTCATTTCACACATGCAGTCACACATGATATGTGTTTGCATGTGTCGGTTGAGTATGGTAGCACACGCATGCATGCATTTGGTTTTCCTCAAGGTCAATACGCGGGTTGCCTGCAACCTGGCCGCGGCCTTCATGCAAGAATATGGTGATGCGCACCCTGGGCATGCTAAGCTGAAGAGCTCACGCTTGCTCTTGCACATGCAGCGCTTGCGGAAAACACAGAAGGAGAGCAACCCGCGTTTGTTGATCGATGAGGATTTGCAAGCCCCTTGCCCCATCACCCTGGCGGAAATCGGCCTCAAGGAGCAGCACCCGATTCTCCAGGTTGAGGACTTCCTGCGTATGCTTTCGGACACAAACAACTTGTCTTGGCTGACGGGTGGCCGTGGTTTTGAAGCATGTGCGACATTTTGGGAGCGTTACCATCATGAAGATTGCAATCATCCAGCTTTTTCTGTGCATGGGGGGCGCCTAGCCCAGGTGGTGCCAGTATACATTTATGGCGATGAGGGAACGAGCCACAAAAGAAATCAATTGTTGGTGCTGAGTGTTCAGCCAGTGCTTGGGCAAGGAACATCGTTCACTGCAGATCAACATCATGCGGACGATCTCCAGGTCAACATGTTGGGCGTAAGCATCAAAACGCGTTTTTTGTACACGGTGCTGATGGCCCGGCTTTACCAAAGGAAGCCTGCAGTATTTGATTCTTTGATGGAGGTGTTGGCCACAGAGTTGGTTTCGCTGTTCTACAACGGCATTCAGCTGGAACATGGTGGAAAGCCGTTGGTTTTGTACCCAGCTGCAGTGGGATGCAAGGGTGACTGGCCGATGCTAAAGAAAATGGGGTCGTTGAAACGTAGCCATCATGGCGGAAAGGCTGAAGCAGGGAAAGGGAAAGGCGTTTGCCATCTTTGTATGGCTGGCACTGCAGAGTTTCCCGACTGGCATGATGTCATTAATGGCAGTTGGATGTGCGACCGGTCGATACGCGATCCAGACGTGCCGTGGTTGGAGGAGTCACCGCTGACTGCTACCATCCCTCAATCAGTGACCGTGCAGCAACAGGTTTGGTTTTATCGGCCTGATCTATTCCATACCTGCCACAAGGGCTTGATGGCCGAGCTTGCTGGTAGTGCTTTGGCCACTGGGCAAAAAAGCAGTGCACGTATGTGTTCAAATAGGTTTTTGTTCTTCCAGTCGATCCACATTTTTGTTGATCACCCAGTCCAGCCCATCCCTTTTTCCAGTCCTCAGCATCGGCTGCAAGGTGAGCATGTTGGACTTGAACCTCGATACGGGCGGTGGTGCTGGGAACATCCCGGACAGGCTTCACAGCCTTTACTTGGAGATGAAGGATCATTGTGAACATGCCGGTATCCCACTACACATGTCGGACTTGACAAGAACACTTCTGGGATATGCTGATGAATCTTGCTTTCCGGTTGGGTGCCTTGGCAAGCCCTTGCAAAAGTTTGTGTTTGCCTGTAGTTGTGTGATTCCGGCTATGTCCCTGTTGCTTTTTGTTTCAAAATCGGAGATCGGGTCTGGGGTACCACAGCCTGAGCTAGAGCTAGAGGTTGGTGTTAGCTGGAACCCTGCCATAGGCTCGGTATAGTGTCGATGGATCCAACCTTAGAGGATGAAACCCGTGTGAGATTCTTTTGGCTATAGGGGACTTTTGGTGGCTAAGGGGCTGGTTCAAGGGCGCTGACACACGTGCAGCCCTTCACTTTTTGGAGCGCAAGTACAATGACATCTTGCAAGATGGTCTTGATGGGGACCTACAAAATGCAAAGGGCTTCCTCACCAACATCTGGAGGGCTGTGTGCAATGCAAATCAGTTTCTTGGGAAACTCTACCGTGCTCCGTTATTCTTATCACAGCAGCTGTCTGCAGAGATTTCCAAACATGGGCACAAGTTGGTTGCTAGATACCTGGCGGTTGCTACAGAGGCTCACTCTATGAATCTGTGTCGGCACAAACTGGCGCCAAAACTACACATATTTTGGCATTTTCTTTGGCAATTGGATCAGGACAGGCCATTTACTTTAAATCCTCTCAGCTACAGTTGCCAAATGGATGAAGACCTGGTAGGACGAACCAGTGCTTTGAGCAGGAAGGTGGATGTGCGATCGGTGCATATTCAAACGATCAGGCGGATCCTAGTTTCGCTTCGTCAGCACATTTGATCTGAGAGCGCGGCGTGAGGATCAAAAAGAATCGATCGGGGGCACACTTGAGCCAAAATGATGATCGAGTTTGTGAAACACACTCATCATGTACACATATAGCATATTTGCCCCAAAACTCCCAAAACCAAAATATGCCACAGTGGCATGGTGGCAGGAATGCCTACCACTGTGATCAGTGGCAAGTATTTTGATACACTAGGATTCCCAGGTATATCCCTATAGGCTAACTAGGCTTCCTAATGCCTGGCTAAACGAGGTCGGTTCCAGGACGGTCCTCGGTTCTCAAGTGAATTCACGCGTTTTACTCCTGCCTGGTAGCGAGCCGTTCTTGTCATTGCCACGCTATTTGAAATGGCTTGTGGCGATACAATCCAGCGCTGGGGAGGTCCACAGGAAGCATGAGTCATGCTCGAATCACGCTCAAGTCACGCTGGAGTCACTGGCCATTCACGGTGTGTCAGGTGCTTTCAGAGTGTTTTGAGGTCTTTCGGGGCCCCAGTCGCGTGCGGCCACGCTGGCAGAGCCACGCATGGCACCCGCAATTCATGCGCTATAGAAGTGCCCTCACTGCGATTACATTGCTGGTGTCTGTGAGCTAAGCGTCCAGGAGCAGTGTCGCCCGATATGTTAAAAACCCTTGCTGATGTCTGGGAGAAGTAAAACAGTTTTTTGAGTTCCTAGAAGTGGAAGATGAGGGTATATATGTTTGCTACTATGAAACTAAACTTCAGCGTGGGTCAGACATCCATGTCACAAAGGAGAGCGGACTTATCATTTGCCTTTGATTGGAAGGCAAGCAAACCAGGCTCAGCGGCTGGAATTGATCACCAAAAAAATCAAGACTCGGCCCCATGCATGGTGTCCCTCGCATCGATCGGACTTATTCTTGCCGGGCGGCAAGCACACATACGGCCGCGCCAAAGCAGAAGAGGAAGACCCACATCTTAGGTGCAGGGTGTCTCGGAACGCGTGAATCTCTGGAAAACGAAACCTAAAGCTTGGCGCTTGAAGATCAAAAATTGGTTCCTCTCTCTCAGTGAAGCAACCCCAGGGATTTTGAGGGGATAACGTTCTCACTTTTTGAGGAGTCACCAAATATTTGTTTACCACTAAAATGGTCCAACCCCAAAAAGTTTCAAGTCCACAAACTCAGGGACAGAGCTTTACATGAGCCCCAAAAACAAGGGGGGATGAAATCGGACGACCCTAGGCGCCAGCTGACACGCTCACTTCCAACTCGGCGAGTGGACCTTGTGGCTCAATTCTCACTTGCTCTCTGCTCTCTGCCTTCTCCTTGGCACGGACCGGCAACGTGGTCTACCCAGAACCAAAAAGGTGGTTGGTTGGAAGGTTCCCCTTACTAACCTTCATCTGCCCAAGCTTGCGAGCCACCAATCCAAATCCCAACTGGGATGACACGACCGGCAAGCGCCACAAATTCGCAAACCAAACCAGCGCTACGCAAATAATGCTTGCCAAGCCACGGCGAAGGCTGCAGGGACAAGTCGCATGCATGAGTCATGAGTGTCGCTTTGAAGGGTACACTTTTTGGGTCGGTTGAAAGGATACTCCCCACGAACATGGCACCCAATGGTCCGACAAATCAGATTGGGGGTCAAACCTGCCCGACTCCATGACGGGGCCCTGCGAGTGTCCATGTAGCCTCCCTTCGGACTTCCTGGTTCGTCATCTCTGCTTGGGAGAAAGGGTGGACTAAGACTGCATGGGTCTGTCTTCTTTGAGGGTACCCTTTCTGGTTTGAAAGGGAAACCACAAGGAAACCACCCATTTTCGGGATTCCCCTATTTGGAGACACCCCACATGAGCAGCAGGAAAGATTCACCGAACTCTGGTAAGCGACCATTTCCGAATGGCGATTCGATCCAAAGCACGCACATTGATTCAAAACCCATCGAGCAGTCTCTACCTAGAGTCTCCATGACCCTTTAAAAATGGGTCAATGACCCCATTCTTTACGGGTAATGACCAACCATGTTGAAAGGGTCAGAAGGAGACTCCAGGTACATCCGGGTTTTGTCAACCTCAGCTTCGGCTTGCAGCGCTTGCACGGCTCCACTCGCGCCCAGCTCCCGGACCCGCCTACCCAGAGGACCGTCCGGTAGGAATCCAGGAGCCCCTGAATCACCAGCCATAGGCCTCAGCCAGCCGGCTCGCCAACGAAACGAAACTTCCATTTGGTTAAGGCCCCAGGAAAAAATGGAAATATGTCCAATAATGATGAATCCCTTTTAAGACCAACAAGGGAAAATAAAATATACTCAGCCAAACCAACCAACCAGGCCACCGAATCAGCCCCGGGGAAAGGCGTGGGATTCTCTCTTGTCGAGAAAAAAGTCCCCCAAAAGGGGGGGCATCTTGGGGTTAAATGTTCGTTTTCCGCTACGACACCGAAACATGAGAGGAACGACACCTGTGGTGGTTCTCCAGGGCTGGCCCCAAAGTGCCAAGGGTTTCATGTGGCTCAGGGCAACAAATGAAAATGGAGTCGCCATCGCTTGAGTCACAAAGATTTGTTTGTGACTCCTTTTGGAGTCTACCCTTGATGGTTTGGTTTGGTGGCTTGGACGTTAGGATTTCCTCCGGAACTTCCCCCCCTCAGAGCCTTAGCCCCGCTGTTTCTTGGCTTAACTCAGGTGGTACGGTTTTTCAGGTACTGGTGCTTTGGGGGTTTGAACCCCAATTCCTTTTGACGCCACATGGGGACATGCATTATTCAGGGGTCGCTGGATCCGCTTTCAAAAGTTGAAAGCGAAAGATCTGGGGTTCCACTGAGGGGTTCCTTGGAACCTGGAACCTGCAAAAGTGGAGACTCAACCGATTGCAACTGTTGAAGGGGACATCCAGTGACCCCTGACTCTCCGAATCTCTTGGAGGTCCAACAAAGTCAAGGAACCCTGCCATGAATTCCAGTGGACTGTCTTGTGGCTGCCTTTGAAAGAGAATGCACACCCAATGAGCCAACCCTCCAGCCGACGATACTCAGAGAGCTCGAGAAGTCAAGCCATGGCCGCGACTCAAACCCCCCACTCCAAATGCCCACTGACTTTAGAATATCATGTCGACCCTCCACTAAAAAGGAGGTATTTACCCTGAAAACAACACGTATTTTTTGTTTGTGGGTATTTGGAGTAGGGGGAACGCTGAATCTTTCGGAGGTGAGCATGTAAAATTATTCATTTTGCTTAAATTCCCTAGAACAAAAAAAACAACAACATATCTCCAGTAGTGAAATCGATGTCCTTTCAAACCAGCAGGGAAAAAAGTGATAGATTCCCTTTCAAATCATTTCAGCGCATGGAAGAAGTTGCCAGGCAAAAGCGGAGGCCCAGGCCCAGAACGGATCCCGCTTCCCCAAAGGGGTTGGAAACCCCTTTGACCACCCGCGCAACATGCGGCAACTCTAGGGGTTGATTCCTTGTCCATTCTTTTCAGCCATCGTTCTTTTCAAAAACCGATCGCCATTTCCCCAGGGTGGTGGTTTTCTGGAAAGAAGGATCCCTGGAAAGAATGAGGAAGTTACCCCTAGAGCAACCAGTGTATTGACATGTGGTGGCTCGTTGTTTTTCTTCTCTGGTGCCTTGTTTGGAGCAGTTTTAAAGGGACGCTAAAAGGAAGATTTAAAGAGGGGCGTCCGTTTTTCTAAGGGGACCCCCAACAAAAGTTGACCATCCCCCCTTGTGGGCTTTTTCGCGACTTTTCAGGGGGCGAATTGGGCTGTTGCCTTTTGAACATTCCCCTCTTTGAGGGGTCCCTGACAACCATAGAAAGCGATTCTTTTCCAGACCAGTCGAACATCCCAGGTGGAAGAACCCACGGGTCGGTTCATGCCCATTTGGGTCTGTCCTTTATTGATCCAAATTCCCAAAAAGCGGAAAGTCCAAGAGCTCGCCTAACACTCCTATTGAACAAACCTTTCTGGCAACCTATGACTCTTGAAACGCCTTTACAACCCGTTGTGACTAGAATTCCCCCCCCCAAGGAAAACCAAATCTACACAGCCCGTTTTGACCAGAACATTCACCCTCTCCCAGCCCACGGACAACCCATCGACGGGTCTATTTTTTTGTTGCGAGGCACCAGAAAGCAGCTTGATACCACGGATGGATCGGCCCACCCGAAGCAGCCGGAAGAGCCGCAGAGACGCCGCCTGGACGTCGAGTCGAGGCAAAAACGCAAAAACGACGGTTGTGTGGATAGTTTGAGGGTACAGGTAGCCGCTATAGAAAGGGAAAATAACCTCCAGACTAACACGGAAGCTTTCGAATGGACCCCTTTGGAAGACTTGGTTCCATTTACAATGGCCTTCTGGGAGCTTTCATGTTAGTCTGAGGGAGTGTAAAGGTATTTTGAGATCACAACGTTTGATAGGATATCTCTCAACATTGGCATCGCTACCCTAACACCTTGGCTTCCTTTTTTCCCAAGAGAAATACCAAGAGCGAAACCATGCCATTTACCGGGATGACTTGGCCCCAACCCGGAGACCCCCCAAAAATCGATTTTCGGATGTCTCATCTTTAGTCAACCTAAAACTCAAAGCTGGGCTGTTCGCTTCGGTCCCCTGCTACAAGCTGTTTTTTCAGTTTTAGAGGATTCATGGAAACGACCAGTAAACCAACTACAAAACTAGAAACCTAACATGATGGCTAAAAACCAGCAAAAAAGGAGACTCCTGGTGTGGTAGGGGTAAATGGGTTATGAACATGGTCTCCCTATAGCCCTCTAAAGAGTTGTTGTCCTAGGATCAACAAAAACTGCCCACCGAAGCCTCAAGCACATAGTAAGAATATGGGACACCCCAAATGGCGCGGTGTCTGTTGGTGTTCCTTTCAACCAACCTGAAAAGTGCTTGCTATAGATGTAATATGTAGGAGTGTAGAAATATATATAGTCACACACACACACCGCATGATCCACACCCAGAGTGAGGATCATAGAAATATATATATATATATATATCAATTCACGTACACATATACCTGTGTATATATATATATATATATATTAGAATAGTATTCTACGCACTCTTTACGTATACACGACCTAATGCTTGCAGACATGGACCTTCGAATCTAGTCGAACTGAGCCTGTGGCAAGTTACTCGCTTGCCCAAGAACAAGGGTACCAACTTTTTTCTGTAGTCTATTTTTGTAGGGGAGCCCTCCCCGAAAAAAGGGTAAAAGGGCACTACTGGCTGACCCTCGTCTCCAAATTGGATGGTAGAACTCCCAAAAATGGGTAAGCTGCATGTACAAAAGATATACTCTTTTGTGCGATGGGTGGGAACCTTTGCCATGGTTGTCTATGGTCACTTTAGAGTCACTTTGCTAGGGTCAATGGAGTCATCCTTGCCGAACAATTTGTAGAAGGGTGTCTTGATCATGGCATGACACCCAATGATTGGAGTGAAGGCAACAAGGAAGTGTTTTCTGTATGTGCCGCAAAAAAGATAGGACGGCCCCGGTTTCCCTTTTAGATTTTGCACACTCCAGATTTTGTCCAAACCTGGGTGGGGGGGGCTCGTTTTTTGAGGGCACCACTTTGTTGGTGGTTTCAAAGGGAAATCAAAATCAAAACCACATTTGTTTATGCTGTTTTGGTGGGGGAGGTCCCCTAACACCTTTAAAACAGTCCAAACCCGTCCATTTGCTTAAGCCCCCTGGAGAAAAAAAAAAAAAAACATATTCTACAACTCCCTTTGAAACCAAGAGGCGTACAACGATCAAGGGGTGAACAACTAGGTCCTCCACTAGAGAGCTTAGAATAAGTTGGTACCAACTTTTTTCTGTAGTCTATTTTAGTAGGGGAACCCTTCCCAAAAAAGGAAACGGTGAAAGGGCACCAATTGTTGGGGGACCGAGACAACGATCCAAGGGGCAAACAAAAAAAGCTGACGATCCATGCCACGGCACCAGCCGCAGACCACCAGAGCCCGTATCCGTCACGGAGACTAAGACGTCGGTCCAGCTGAAGACCTGATTCTAAGGGATCAATCTGACTTCCGTTTCTGGACTCTAGCTTTCCAAGGTTTCTTAGGTGGTGCGAACTTATTTTCCTAGGGGTTGATTCCAACCATTCTGTTCAACCATCGTTCTTTTCAAAAACTGGATCCGTTTCCCCTGGGTTTCTGGGGGTTTTCTAGGGAGAGGGATCCCTGGAAAGAATGGGGGAGGTACCCCTAGACTGATTGACGTTCCACCCAGGAGAAAGACATATGGCTGGACCGTTGTCAAAAATAGCTACCTGGACCAAATATCCAACTTACAAATGGGCTACCAAAGGCATGGGGGCTAATTCCCATGTGTAGTGGTATTTGAGGGGGCATCTATAGTGGGTGCTGCAAATATTGCAAGTGGGGTTGATCAAACGGTCCTTTACATGGGATTACCATTGGGAAAAGCACCAAAATATGATACTTCCCACAATGGCTGCGGTTGTTGAGAATGGATGGTAACCCCACAATGGGGCAAGCAAGATCGGTAAATGGACAAAAGGGAGTAAAACCAGCGGTCCCATTCCTGGTGGTTTAATCTTGACCCATACACATATCGCAAGCTGGTCTAGCAAGGGATACCTGTTTGAGGGGTGGTCCCGACACATTGCCCAGCTGGTCGTTGCTCTTTAGTCCGCTCGGAAAATTGAGCTATTGAATACTATTGATATGTTGCTAGGGAAGCTATGGTCAAAAGATGTTAATATTTTGTTTAAAAGAAGTTCAGCATCTTACCAAAGAGCCGGTGTCAAGTGCAAAAAACCTCACCGGCGCTTAAAGCAGAGCGAAATCCATCTGGGGTCCCGTGGTGTTGGATGTACCGAAGGGAACGGCCCACCTTCAAACGAGGGTTGCCTTGGGAAACCTCCAACGTGGTCCCGTTTGGTTTCCCGCAACACCAAAAGGAAAAAGTGGGTCCCACTTTTACGCCCTCCAAACTGGGCTGTGCATTTTCAGATCTGCTAAACCTTCAACTTAGGTGAAATGGTTCTACCCCCACCAAACCCACTCAAAACGACGGAACCGGACGGGGAGCCGCTCGCAGCTCACTTTCTGAAGGCAAAAAAAGAGCGCCGAGGGGCACATGCGAGCGGTTGGATATCGCCGGTTGGTGGGTGTTAGCCCTTAAACGCCTAGTTCAGTGACTCAGTGAAGGGAAGCTTTTCTGGGGGGTTGGACAATTTTAGTGGGCACCGAAAAAAGAAGAAAGGGTCCAACCCGTTTTCCGTTGTCAAAGGAAAGAGGGGGGGTGCAACCCAAAAAGGGAGTTCCTCCCAACAGAAGAGACTCCTCCAGGTTCATCTGGGTGAGGGCACCCTAGTGTCATTTCTTAACAAGGACACCAAAAAAACAACATTTCATTTTGTGGGGTTCCTGTTAGAGACAGACTTGTCTGCAAAGCAACGTTTGAACCGAGACCAACATCGGGGAGCTCGATTGGCTTCAGTGAGGGCTGGAAAAGGCGATGCCTTTTCCAGTGGGGCCCCCCTCTCTTGCCGACCAACAGCCCGGTCGTGGGAAGAAAAAGGGCTCCCTTCCCTTGAACAAAGCAAACCGCTGCACGTCTGGTCCAAAGAAGAAATGTGGCACTTGGTCTTGGGCTGGTTGACCCCTCATTTACCCAACCAGCCAAACACAAACAGCCAGGCAATCAACCGGACAACCGACTGACCCTTTTGTCCCTTATTACTCGTTGGGGGCTTGCCTTGAGGGATGGGTGTGTGTGTGTGTGTCTTTTTCGAGGGTACCCCTCTTGGGCGGGCTTCAAACAGAAGCCAAAAAAAAGAAAAGCACCCCATGTTGTGGGTCCCCTAAAACAAGACACACCCATATGAGTATTGGCCAGGGGACCGCTGGTGGCGCATGTTTACACTTACCAGGGTTCCATTTTCGGTGCCTATGATCGAGACCCGCGGCCATATGGTGAGCCCATGAAGACGTCCGACTTTCACTTCGCGAAGGGGCCACCAGCGAGTAGTCAAAGATGTTCCACGGATCGATGGCGTATTCCCAGCCCAGGTGGTGCATCCTGCAAAACGAGGAGGCGAAGGGAGCCCTAGAAACCCGCGTCTGTAGCGAAGGAAATAGAAAGAGCAACTGCGCGGGCGATGTGTCGCAGGATTCAAGGTGCTCGGTTAGAACATTGAAATGGAAAAGCTCGCATCAGGATTCTGGATTTTGTTTGTTGAACCAAGTTGAAATGGAAAAGAGCTACTGCGCGGGCGATGTGTCGCAGGATTCAGGGTGCTTGGTTAGAAGTTGAAATGGAAAAGCTCGCATCAGGATTCAGGATGATTTCTTTGAGCCGAGTTGAAATGGAAAAAAGCAACTGCGCGTGCGACGTGTCTTAGCATAGGTGTCTCCATGTGGAACGGGTGTTCCGTTTGATGGTCCTTCGCTAAGCATGCGGTCAGCAGGCTGTTTGTAGCAGTTTTGATGCGGACTTCCGTCGCTCAAGGCCGAGAAAGTCACAGGATGTTGTTGCGGGTGGTTTTCCTTTCGGCTTCTCTTTGAAGCCTACCAAAACGGAGCACCCTCGAAAAAAGACACAGACACACACACACACACACACACATGCCAGCTTTAAACATCACCCACGTACTTAACTTTGTTAACAGGCCTCTGCAAAACTAAATCGTGCACACTGGTTGATGCCTGCGGCAAGTGCCAACCTCTAACCTCGTTGAGGTGGTAGGGGTCTCTGGAACATGAGTCCTAACCGAAACCATCTCGCAGAACTCCAATGTGGATCCACTCGTGCCCAGTCGCCGCCTCTCTCAGATGTTTTTCTCTGAGAAAGGGGTGGGGAATGTTAAAGCATCACAGGAGCAGCAATGCATGACATGTCATCTTAGGATTTGGCCGCCTAAAGCTTTTTCGATTCATCATCCACCCTGCGTTGAAATCCATCCAGGAGCCGGGAAGGCCCATACCTATTGACGCGCCAACTCGGTAGGGTTTCCACCCAAAAACCCCGGCATCCTCCCTGCTCAGGGGGAAAAAAAAACAACAGCCACAAAAGTAGATCTCCAGGGCTCGAGATCCACCCTCCCTCCCAATTCCATGTTGAATTTAATTTAAAAAAAAAACTAGAAGATCTGTTGCTCATCTACTCAGGTGCCAAAAATTGTGCGGTCTTCACAGTTTCCCTTTGCCCAAAAGAGTTCCGCCATTGAGAACCAGGACCATGCTAGGTCCTGAACCAACTAAAAAGAGTTCCCCCTCCCAAGATCGAAGTGCACTTTTGGCCTTTCCAAAAGGAATGCCGTCTTCTTCCATTTGCTTAAGCCGCCTGAAAAAAACGATACAATACTTCAAGTAGCGAAATCGATTCCCTGTAAAGCCAACAAGGGACAACAACAACACATATTCAGCAAACGGAAGTCTCCCAACAAGGGGGGGGTCCACTTCCATTTGTTGGTAAGTTGTAAACAGGTTTTGCCCTCACCGGATGTCTGCAGCACAGGGAATCCTGATGACGACCTCACTGAAGAAGGTCACGGCGAAGATGGCCTCAATGGTGAAGAACACCAAGCGATCCTGCCGCACGGGTCGAAGAAGGTCCCGTTGTCCCCACAAGAATCAGGGGTTCAACTTGCTGGTGCGAGAGAAGCAGGGTCCCATTTACCCAACAAGAACCAGGGAAAGGGAATAAAAAAACCACAATTCAGATCGCTTTTTTTAGGCGTCCCAGGGGCACTCTGCCTGACATCCTCAAAATCATCAAGCGTGGTTTGAAGGAACCCCCCCAAATTCATCCTACTGGTGCTCACCAGGGATTAACGGTTGGTGAAGGTCCCCCTGCACAAGAATCAGGGGTTCAACTTGCTGATGCGAGAGACGCAGGGAATGAGAAAACGAATGACCCCTACAAACCATCCATCTGGTGGTTTCCTTTAAGGGGACCCCAGGTTCACCTAAATTCATACCCAAAACGCCCAGCAAGGGGTTCCAATGGGCATTCCTCTGCCTGACATACTCAAACAGACGCCGGCTTCGGGCGCGGGTTCCGCGTCATTCAAAGGCGCTTCATTGAAACCCAAAAATACAAATGCAAAACCACATACCAGCGACAAAACTTGAGAGGGGATAGAAATACGCTCAAGGTACTTGTCCGCTTTGAAAAATGGAATAGGCATGGATCAATGTAAAAATATAGCACCAAACTCATCAAAAAAACCGTCTGTCGGATGCTGAAAACTTGGGGGGATATCCTCAAAGAGAAGCCGATCACAGGAAGGCAACTGCGAAAGGGACGCAATCGAAAGGATCCTTCCATTTGCTTCGGCCCCTGGAAAAAAAGCATGTCAAGTAGTGATAGTTTCGCTGTAAAACCGAAACGGAAACAAAAACATACGTATTCTTAAGCAAATGGAAGACAGCCCCCCAGGTAGCTTCGGGTCTTCTTTCAAAGAGCCTGTTTACGACAGTGGGGCCGGGCTTTAGAAAAACATGGGGTGTTCCTGGTCCCCCTGGAAGCGAAAAGCTTCCAGGGGGACCCCAAGCAAAGCAAAGGACACGCCCAGACAGAACAGCCCTCAAGTCAAAGCAATGCAACGCTGTTGGCACGCTCGCCTCGAAAAACGTACCGACAGTCCCATGGTGTCTTTTCCGACGCTCGGCACCCTATTGGGGGTTCGACGAAGGCCAAAAGGGAAAGAGCCCACTTTTGGGAGTGACCATCCACATATAGGATCGAACCCCCCTCCCCCAATCCACCAAGGGGTGGGAATGGGTGTCCTAGCTTTAATGCAAACCTGGAAACAAGGTCGACCTTTAGGACCTCTAACAATACGAACAAAAGCAACACCTCAACAGGGAAAATGTCGACCTTGGACTTCGCAAGTACCCAAAGTCCAAAAACAACGCGTCAATACAAGGGACACCAACTGAATCAAAGACCCCAAAAGGTCAATGTTTAGGACCTTGACTGATTGGGAAAAGTGAACCACAACTGAAATCCAGCTGCCAACCCCAAGTTGGGCAAGGGGAACAGGGTTCACCGGGTGTCTCCTCCAAAATCTGCAATTTACCGGTGGGCTCGTTTGAACCGATCGCCACTTTTTGGAGCTCCAAAAAGAAGGAAATTGAGGGAATTTCCCTGAGGTAAATGGCATCCAGCCATGCTGAGGTTGCAAACTGCACTTTTTTGGGGTTCCTCTAAAACCGAGGGAAAAAACCACCCAGACTTGCGTCCTCGAGGTTTCTACCTCTGGAGTAGTCTGTCTCGATTCCAATCACCACGGTGTTGATGCTCAGCATCACCTCAGCCAGTGAGCCCACCGACGCACACGCACACATTCAGAGAAAGACTGAGAGAGAGAGAGAGACACGCACACACCATTTCAAGCGAGCGAGCAAGCAAACAAGCAAACAAATAAACACAAAAACCAAAACAAAACAATCAAACAACCAAACAAAAGAAGCAACAACCAAACAAAACAAGCAAACAACAACAAACAAACCAACAAACAAACAAACAAACAAACAAACAAACAAACAAACAAACAAACAAACAAACAAACAAACAAGCAGCAAAGCAAACACAACAAAGAAACACACAAACACGTACAACACAACAAACACATTATACATCAAATCGAATCAAACCAACGAAGCAGGCAAACACGCAAGTAAACGCACCAACAATCAAGCAATACTAAACGAGCAAAACCCAACCATGCAAACAACACATCAACACATGACAAAGCAAACCAAGACAAACCACGACAAAACACACAACACAGCACAACAAAACAAACAGAACACAATGAGCAAACGCACAACAACAGTAAACAAACAATCAATACAAACATACAAACACACAACACACACACACACAACACACACACACACAAACCATAGCAATCACACACAACAAACAAACAAACGAACTAACAAACGAACGAACAACAAACAAGCAAGAAAACAAACAAACAAGCAAGCAAGCAAACCACAACAAAAAAACAAAGAAACGAGCAAACAAGCAATCAAGCAAAGAAACTTGACACAAACAAAGAACCACGCAAGCAAACAAACAAACAAACAAACAAGCAAACAGACAGACAAACGGACAGACAGGCAGAGCAAACAGAAACAAACAGAGACAAACAGAGACATGGGCAGAACACAAACAGACGCAGATAGGCACAGACAGACAAAGACACAGGCAGGCAGACACACACACACACACACACACACACACACACACACTCGCGCGCGCGCGCGCGCGCGCGCGCGCGCGACAGAGACAGTGACTGCGACAGAGACAGAGACATACAGACAGACAAGACAAGACAAGGCAAGAAGACAACTTCAAGACAAACACACACACACAGACACACACAATACCATACCAAAAGAAACAAAGGACACAAACAAACACCAAACAAAACCAAACTGAACCAACAAACAATCAAACCAAATATGTAAGTAAATAATTAAAATCATAACCCGTCGAGGGATAGGGGTTTCCTCTGCTGCGGTTGGGAGTACAACATCATACTGTGGATGGACGAAATCCAGTGCGCACCATCTAAAAACCTTGGAATGATGATTTCCCTGCACATACCAACAAACAATGGTTTCCCATGGTTTCATTCACAGCATCACCCCCAGTATGGGTATTTCTCAATTTGGGGACCCCTCCAAAGTTCCCCTATTTTGAGACAGACCCAGATAAAGGACACTCACTTCGCACAGGCAACCAGGCAATGTAAGCCTGGGCCTGCCCCTGTTTAAAAAATTAAATACAAAATGCTGCCCCTTCCCCGGCAAACCGCACGGCACACGACAAGAACCCATTGGTTGGGGGGCATAGCCTTGAAGCGTTCATCGGCTCTATCAACATTTGAAGGGTATGGCTCTATCAATTTGCTATTTGGGCCAGTTCGGTGGATGGATAACTCCAGCACATCCCGGAAAACAGGGGTCCTTCAGTTCTCTGGGATGCGCTTCTTTCTCTTTTCTCTCCCTCTCTCTCCCCCTCTGCTGCTGCGCTCTTTGGCTCTTGGAACTCACTCGGGAAGTCACCAACTGGGGGTTCAAAGGGAATTGGCCCAACATGGGTTGCCCTGAGAAATAGAAAGAATGTTGACCCCTGATTCATAACCCCCCCCTCCCCGATTTCTAAGGGGGGTCCCCTTTTTAAGTGGGGAATCTGACCAAACCCCCTGAGTCATATCTCGGGGGGGAGGAGGAATTGATCAGGGGTCAACATGAAACCCTAGTAATTCCAGTCTCCAAACATGCTTCCCAAAAACGCCAACCTAAAGCACCAACCTCTAACACCTCTCTGCCCTGGCGAAGTGAAATTTTGGGAAACAACTACAAAGAGGCCACGAAAATCCGAGGCGCTGCCACCAGGGAGTTAAACCAAGCGCGGGCGCCCAGGTGGTTCCGCTTCCTTGCCAAGGGCCAGAGATTACTGCGAGTCATGCCCCACCCTCTCAACCTGGACGACCATTTTCGTGAGCAAACCGGTTCCTGTGCAGGGTACTGAGAACCAGCAAGCCCCAGGACTTTTCATCAACTTGGTCAAGTCCCAGGACTTTCTTTCGAAAGACCTGGGCCCCAAAAGGCTGCAGGACCAGCCCGTGGTCGCAAAGCCAAGCCGTCATGCGCATTTCTGGTAGTTAGAAAGCGAGAGGTTGGGAATGCAACATCATAGTGGGGGATGGACACATTCGGAAACCCTGGTTTCAAATGATTCCCCGGAAAACACCCACTTTCAAAGCGGTGCGAAACGGATTTTGTCCATCCAAGGTAGTGTTGGGCAAAGGTCCTCAGGGAAAGGTCTGCTGGCACGATGCTGACACGTGCCTGATGTCGCAAAACCCTCATGTTGGCGAACCTACGGCAGTTCAGAACGACGTGTTAAAAGAGTACTGACCCGCTGGGGGACTGGGAAATCAATCATGGACACTATCGTCTTAGATGGGCTTCTGCGTTAATCCTCAATCTTGAGCTAATGCGAAAAAAACCCTTAACTATGTTGACTTGGGATTGATGTGGAGGGCTGTGGTGATCAGGGGTGGTGATCAGGGGTGGTTCCCGAAACTACTGTCTCAGGGTCCTATGGCAAGGGTCTTATTCCGACGTTAACATTCAGCACCCTCGGTCTCTGGCCAACGCCAACAACCTTCACCAAGCAGCGCACCAACACTAGATATGATCCAACATGTATGTCGATCTTTCCAACCCTTGGCATGGCAGCAAACATGTTTTTTTTGTGTTTTTTTTTTTCCGTTGCAGCCCCCTGCCAAAAAGGAACAGAACCCCCCCCCCCCCAAAGAAAAAAAAAACAACGACTGCCTAAAACAGCTTGCTAACAACAGTGAAGGTCAAAATTGTATTGAAACTATTACCCGGTGCTTCCAGCTATCATTATAGCAGGTAACCAAGGTTTCTTACCTCTGGATGTTACATCATGGTTTCCCTGCTATAGTGGTAACCGGAAGTACTACCCTCCCACCAATTAACATAAAATCTGACAGGGGGTCAAAGGAAAATGGTCCAAACCAGAAACTAGGACCCCAAACGTCAAATTCCATGCTAATTGGTGGGAGGGTAGTACTTCCAATTCTGTAGGTAGCCTTGGCCCTTGTTATGTGCAGTTCCCTTTTGAACATTGTCCAACTCTTTTCAGTATTTGGTCATCTCAGTCATATTGACCGTCCAATCCACAAAAATATTCAGTGAAAATGAATTGGGAATCCACAAACAATTAGCACCATGATGTAAAATCAGAGGAAAGAAACCCTGGTTACCTGCTATAGTGGTAACTGGAGCCACCGGGTTATGTTGAAATGGAAATGGCTCAAAATTAAACAACCAGGACACCGCAGGTTTTGGTGCTTGGTTCCATGTGGCAGGGCAACCCATTTTGAGTACATCATTTTGACCCACAGCCTTAAACGATAGTCCCGTGTGCTTCAACCTACCAGCCGACGGCCGACGGCCGAGACCCGCCTCGACCGGTGCTCGCTGGTCTCCGCGTTCAGCTGAGAGAAGGCGTCCGGGAGCAGCGACGAGGTTTTGGACTCGGTGCCGCGGTTCAAAACACCAAAACCCAGCCGCTGAACGTCTTCTAATGGGCGTCTTTTTGTTGAGGGACCCCGCTTTTGGTAGGTTCTGAAGGGAAACAAAACGATCAACCACTCATTTTTTTGGGGAAACAAAAACGAACATAGCTGAATGTCTAGGTCCCCCACTGCCCGAGCTCTCACCGTTTCTTTTTTTGGGGAGGGCTCCCCTACTAAAATAGACTACAGAAAAAAATGGTACCCTTGTTCTAACCTCTCGGCTGGAGGACCTACGTCTTTCAATGGACGTCTTTTTTTGAGGGTACCGTTCTAAAGGGAAACCAACAAAAAAAACACCACTCATTTTTTGGAAGAAAAACAACAACACGACAATCGCTGAATGTCTAGGTCCTCCACTAGAGAGGTTAGAATAAGGGTACCAACTTTTTTTCGGGTTGCCTATTTAGCAAGGGAACCCTCACCCAAAAAAGTTGGTGAGAAGGGCACTACTGGGGGACCTAGATGTATTCCAATGAGCGTCTTTTTTTGAGGGTACCCACTTTGTGGTAGGTTCTAAAGGGAAACCAATTGGGGGAAAAACACGGAAATCGCTGAATGTCTAGGTCCTCCAGTAGAGAGCTTAGAATAAGGGTACCCTTTTGCTGTAGTCCATGTGAATAGGGGAACCCTCCCCCAGAAGGGTAAAAGGGCACTACTGGGGGACCTAGATATCTTCCAATAAGCGTCGTTTTTTTGAGGGTACCCCCTTTGTGGTAGGTTCTAAAGGGAAACCAATTGGGGGAAAAACACGAACATCACTGAATGTCTAGGTCCTCCAGTAGAGAGCTTAGAATAAGGGTACCCTTTTTCTGTAGTCCATTTTAACAGGGGAACCCTCCCCCAAAAAGGGTAAAAGGGCACCACTGGGGGACCTAGATATCTTCCAATGAGCGTCGTTTTTTTGAGGGTACCCCCTTTGTGGTAGGTTCTAAAGGGACCAAACAAAAACAATAAACAAAAAAACACTCATTTTGGGGAAGACACCCCCAATAAGGACTTGGACCAACCCCCCCCCCAAAAAAAAAAGAAGCTTGGGCTTCCTTGTTGAAACGGGTACCCTGAAAGAACATGCCACACCCATCCCTTTTATTAGAGGAATCTCCGTGTACCCGTTGGTGGACCCCCGTTGTGGGTCCCTTTTTGGGGCTTCAGGGTGGTTTGCCCTGAAAACATTGGGGATGTCTGAAAAAAAGGATGTGAACCCCACAGAATGAAGTGCTTTGTTCCTTTTATTTTCCTGTTCAATCAAGTTGACAAGGGAGCCCTCAAAAACAATCAACAAACAAGTACAAACACACAAAAGTAGACAGAAAAACAAACACGCAAAAAAACAGACAAATAAACAAACACACAAACAAACAAACAAGCAACCAAACAACCAAACAAACACACGCACACACACAAACACAAACACACACAAACACAAACACACACAAACACACACAAACACACACACACACACACACACACACACACACACACACACACACACACACACACACACACACACACACACACACACACACACACACACACACACACACACACACACACACACACACACACGCACACACACACGCACACGCACACAGAGACACACGCAGACACAGACACAGAGACACAGACACAGACACAGACTCACAGAGACACACGGAGGACACACAGAGACACACAGAGACACACAGAGACACACAGAGACACACAGAGACACACAGAGACACACAGAGACACACAGAGACACACAGAGACGCAGACACACAGACACACACACAAAAAAAAAACACAACCACCAACAACACACACACACAAACAACACACACACACATTCCATTAGGGGAATCTCCTTTTGTGGTGGTAAACACCCTGACACCAAGACCTAGGCTTTCTTAACAGACCCCTTAGAGCATGCATTTGAAGGGCTGCTGCCGTGACCAATGTTCGGCAGCCCTTCTAGAAGGGGACTTTGTTTAGCAGAAGACGCTTGCAGCACCCCTTTCACAGGTAAGCACATTGTGTCTTTCGTTCTTTGAAGGTACTCCTTTTTTTGGTGGCTTTAGAAGGGAACGAAATGGAACACTACCATTTTTTTGGGGGGGATCCGTATTTTGAGCCAAACCCATGGAGCAGTTTTTCAGCAGGTGCGCATAAGTGCACAACTGACATGGCACTTTGGCGAAGAAGCCCTATGTCCTAACGGTAACTTGATCACGTGTGATTCCCTTTCGGGACCAGACGCGGTCGATGGTAGGACAACGGTGCTCCTACGTGTGTTGTTCTTTTGGTGGCACCTTCTCTCTAGCAATTGTGGAAGTTTCTGGTCATACAAAGATGCCTTACATGACTAAAGCCGACCGATTGCGTGCAGAACATTTGGCAAAGGAAGAAGTGGACGCGGTATTGTCATTGGTGTACTGGGAGATGGACATTGGAAACACACATTGATTTTCTCAACATGGTGGAACCTCCGCAAACATTATGGTCGGACGCCAAAACTGCAACAAAAATTGCCGGATTTTCCCTTGAAACGGTGACCCATTTACCAGTGCCACTTTTGGAGGCTCCCATTCCACATTTTCATGGCCTCGAGAAGCCGCCGCCTGTGTGAGCCACAACGCAACCTTGATCTTATGCTGCATGAGTTAATTTCCCTGGGTTTTGTAGGGAACCAAGGGCTTGAGCCAGCCTTTAAATTAGCCAACAGGAAGATTGCGGGTTGGCTTACTTGCTGTAGCGGCGAAACGCTTCTTCGATCCACAGGGTGGATTGACCAAACAAGTCTGAACCGTTTATTCCAAAATGGTCCAAACCCCCCAAAAGTTGAAAGTCCGAAACGGCACCCCCAAAAGTTGAAGCGAGTCCATTCCTTTGAAGGGGGCCCCCTCAGGTTCTCCCTCCCCAGTTTGCCGCCCGCCGACCCAAAACCCGCAACGCTGGGGGCTCCCGGCGGCGAAGCAGTTGAAGGTGGGCTCCTTCTCCAGCGGCTTAAACTGGCGGATGGATGCGGGCCATTGGATGCGCTGAGCAGATGGCCAGCGAAACCCCGGACCCGCAGTTGAGCTCGGGATTTGGGGGTTGGTCAACATTTAAGAATGGGGGGAAAAAGGAATCCGCCATTCTTCTAGGGGTAACCTTACATGTCCATTCTAAACCCAGGCATCCGAATCTTTCTAAAAAACCACCCAAAACCCTGGGGAAACAGCTGGTTGTTGAAAAGAACGATGGTTGAAAAGAATGGGGAATCAACCCTTAGAAAAAAAGAGAAAAAAAAACTGACTTGCCCAGTTTGGACCCAGAAATAAAATTCTAGGTCCTCCAGTAGAGAGGTTAGAATAAGGGTACCAACTTTTTTCTGTAATCTATGTTAGTAGGGGAACCCTCCAACCCAAAAAAGGTAAAATAAATAAAAGGTGATCACCTTGTTGGAACCTTAACTAAAAGTTGACCAAATCGGAACACCAAAAGGTTAGAGCAAACCAACATCATGGACCATATGGTGGAAGGGAGGGGGGGGGGGGGGGGGACACCAGACCACTTCCCCCCCTTTGGTAAAATTAGGGATAGCCCCTTGTTAAGGCAACGGGGTTTCAATTAATAAACCATTTCATGTTCAGTGCGGCAGAATAAGGCCATAACTGTTCCGGGCTGTCCATTTTCTGATCCCCTGCCAAAAGTCGAACACTTAAGTGGGTTGAGTGGAAACCCCCACTAAACCCGCAAAACCTAAAAGCTGAAGGGGACGGTGGGGGCCGCCAAGGACAGCAAAAGTTGGGGAGGGAACCACTCTCACCCCCAAAGCCAGGGTAAATGACAGGGTTTCACATACTCTTCTCGTGCCACATGGGATAAATAGCGAGTTTGCTTTTTGTTGTGACAAACGTAGTCCCCCATGTTCCTCCCAAATGAACAATGTAAACCTAATTCAATCAGAGTGCAACTACTAAATTACGTTAGCCCAGGAAGGTGCCCTCTATCGTACACCCATTTTAGCATGATCTCTGTGAGAACTCCGACAGGAAATAAGATTCGCCGGGTTCATTGCCACCTCCTTTGAGTTGGCTCTGTTCCTCCATTTCCTTCTTCGCTTTTGACTCGTCTGGCAAAGCTTTTTGTGTCCTGTGTCCTCTGTCCCAGACAAAGAGATAGACATGAGGACAAGTCCGATTTTCAAAGAGCACAAGTCTTCAGGCGCAGGAGCTCTTGAAATGAACGGCCGACTTCAAGCTGTCTCCTCAAGTGACAAACAATTTGCTCCCAATTTGTCCATGGAATACCTAACATATCGCATTTGCTTGTAGAGGAATATCACTTTGAGCATTTGATTCGCCAGCCTTGATCCATCCCATTCGGGGCGGAGCGGCAAAATACACACACTCCACAATCTTTGCTGCCTATACCCAGAGAGTCCAATGCCACCTGCACAGCGATACTTTTCAAACTTGTACTTTGACCTGATGTTCTTCACCTTTCCCCCCACGCAACCAAGCAAACAGATGTATGCAACTGACGCAGGAACATAACAGTTTTTCTTGTTTCATCACGTCCCCAAAATTATGCAGTGTTTAAATGCTAGTTCAGCAGAAACAACCAGTCTGCACCTTTGCCCTCTTCCGTGCCATAGACACCTAGACTCTAGCTTGCATCACCAAACCCAAAAACAAAAAACACCCTAAACAAAGAGCGTGCCCACAAAAACTCTACCCACCCACCCCTTCCCTGACGCCCCCACCCCTCTGGGGCCTTCTTCTCCTTCTCCGCGTCATGGGAGCTCGCCGGCGACATCGCCATGGCCCGACTCGATCGGCTCTCAGCCTGCGACGGGCGGCCTTGGGGGTTTTTGGGGCGGCCCGGCGCCGCCGGTTTTTTTTGCGGTTGGTTTCAGCGGCAACCTGAAAGGAAACCATGTTTTTGGGGCAGCCCGAAACGAAAACACATGTTTTTGGCGAATAAGGTTTCTGGGATGGTTTCAAGGTTCTTGGGTTGGTTCAACGGGCAACCCACAACAAAACAATCATCCCGGGGCTGCCCTCAGATCCCGGACGAAAAAGCTTAACTTGTGGGAGAAGTGGAAACTACCACCAAACTAACTAAAAGCAACTAAACGCCTAAGTCGAACGGGATCGCCGGGCTTGCCTCCCAGATTTTGGGGGTTCCTCAATTTTGACACAAACGCTGATAAACTTTTAATGGAGCCCTTTGCTTTAGGCAGTTGCAGCCTCCTGCTCCGCCAGGACTCACAATATCTCCCGGCTGGAAAAGGGGAACCCCGCATTTGTAGACTCCCTTCCGATCGAGTGGATCGGCCAATAAAAGCAACACATGCTTTTCTTGGCCCCTGAAAAGGTGACCCAGAAGGTGACTGCAAACCCAGGTGAGCTAACTTTCTCATTTTGAGACTGCATAATGAAATCGAATCCATTTGGGAAGCCCATTTGAGAAAGAAACGGAAGCCATCGAGCAGGCGGATTCGGGAACCCGAGTCACGAAGCTGCCAAATGCAATTGGCGATCAGTTCAGTCGCAAACTCAGCACGCGGTATTATAACGTGGTATGGTACATCACCTAACCAATTGCAAGCCGGCAGCACACATTTCTGGTTGGGACTATCCATGACTATCGATCCTGTGGAAAACATTCATCAACTGATTTTGTTGTTCTGGCTCAGTGTCAGGGAGCAAGGCACACTTGGGAATATGCCAAGGACAATCATGCTTCGAGGAGACCAATTTGCCCTTTGAGGCCTTATCTTTCACCCTAACAGCCCAAGGACACTCACGTTAAAACGGCAACTATCAGGTGATGCTGATAGCCACCCTGTATTCAACTTCTCCCTAATTGGCGGTTTGGTTTGGTGGTTTGGACGAACGGGTAGCTTCCCCACAACCTGATTTATGCGGGTTCATATTATTTACCTATTGTCATCATCCCAATTGGGTCCCAAAAGCCAGCAACTAAGGGTAACCTGAAGTCTGGGGAAAGGTTTGCAAAGATGCTGGGGTTCAAATCCCCAAACCACTAATCCGAACCACTACTAAGGGATTCAAAGGGAAAGTAAAGGTGGGAAAGGCCCACTTAGATGGTCTGGGACGAATCGCTATATGGCTAACTTTGCCCTGGTTACAGGGGACTTGCAACCACCAGATTTTCTAAGCGGGATTCCGTCCATTTGCTCAACCCCCCGGGGAACAAAAATAACAATATGTCCAATAGTGATAAATTCCCCTTTAGAACTGGCAACAAACAATAAGTCCAGTAGTGATAAGTTCCCTTTGAAACCAAAAAGGGAAACTAACAACCATATTCCTTTCGGCAAAAACGGAAGCTTCCGCCGGCTCGCTTCGAATCGACGGAGTTCGCTCGCTCGCATCGGCGCCTCACATAGGCATCGATCGATCTTCGCCCCGTCTCGTGTTCCAGGGCGCTTGAGCCGATCGCGATCCAGTCGTGCGATCCGCGTGCGAGCAAAGGCGCGGGTTGAGCCACCGCGAAATTGGATCCAGGTGGGTGGTACGTCCTTTTGGTTTCCCTAATGTTAAAAGACTCTTGATGAAAAACAGCGAGCTCGAAACTTGTGTTGCTAGCCACAGTCTACCTGAACCCGCAAACTACCTTAAAAAAGTGGAAAATCACCCCATTTGTTTGGGGCATGAAGGGATGTTAGAGGACACCCTCCCCCTCCACGAAAAGAAAGGAGAAACGGCGGACGGACCGACTCGTGGGACAAGACGACTGGAGGTGGATTGGCGGACCAACGTGATGTTACCCTCCCTGCCTCCCTCTTGCAAAGGGAACCTAAAGGAACCCAGCTATTTTTAGATACCATCCTCAAGCTAGCCTCAAGAAGGTGATATTGTTCCCAAAATTATGGGGGTGAATTCAGGTACCCCTGCTTTGAGACAGAGCCACATGGACCGAACTCCGTTTCTCGGAAACCCTCTGGTGGGTTTGCGCTGCAAGCCTATGATTGGGACTTCGAGCTGAAGCTTTCAGACAGTGGGTGGCTGGGTGGCTGGGTTGGGTGGGTTGGGTTGGGTGGGGGTGGGTGGGTGGGTGAGTGGGTGGGTGAGTGGGTGGGTGGGTAGGTGGGTGGGTAGGTGGGTGGGTGGGTGGCTGGATGATTCCCAAAATGCTTCGGTCACTGCTCCACAAGTCTCACTTCTTCAGTGACCTTCTGAAAAGAACGCCGAGCTTGTGTTTGCCACTAACTGACGGGTCCTCCCAAAAGTATGAGGGCCAGAGACTCGTTGGAAAAGTGAGCGTTGGAAAAGGGAAGCGAGAAACCAAGAGGCCGCAACTTAAAATACTTATCCTATGCACACAAAACTTTACAACCCCGGTATGGGAACTAGCATTTTGTTGTTTTCTGCAGCCCCCCACCCAAAATGAACAGAACCAAGAAACAAAAGACCCTAAAAAACTATAAAACAACTAAACACCTTCCATTAAAAATGAACAGAACCAACCAATCAAACAACTAAAAAGATCTAAAAAGCCAAAAACCAAAGGACACTTAAAACCAAACTAACAAACAACAAAGCAGCTAAACAACCATATGCTAACATGAACCGAACCAAACATGACCCAGCAAAAGTCCAGAAACAACACGCCCAGTACCCTCCAAGCGGAGCGGCGCGCTTGCGCGGAGAAGGCCAAGCGGAACTCCGGAGGCTTCTCCTCAGATGCAACCGGAGGCAAAGCCCATCCCAATTCCGCCGAAGTGGATCTGTCAGAGAGGCACATATTCAACTTTAAACTCACTTTAGCCACATCCCTGATTTAAGTGATGTAATGAAACCGACCCCTTTTCTTCCATTTGGTTAAGACCCCCCGGTGTAGATTCCCTTTAGAAGCACCAGGGGAAACTAAAAACATATTCGTTTCAGCAAATGGAAAAGTGTTGCTGGTTTTTTTGCGTCAAGGAGAAAGAAGAAAACAAAAAAAGCGCAGTCCTCCACGCTGTACTTCTCCGCTGTGCGGAGGTGCGCCTGCATCTCCAGGCCTCGCAAGAAAGATCCATGTGCTCAAAGGCCCCGGGCTTGGCGTCGACGTCTGGACGTGTTAGACCCGTGGGACCCACGGGACCCGTGGGACCCGTGGGGTGGGGTGGGGTGGGGTGGGGTGGGGTGGGCCTTCGAGTCTTGGTCTTCTGAACTGCCCAGTCCAGCGGGTAAGAACCTTGTTTCCTGCCGCGTGGCAGCTTCTCAACTTTGGTCGCATTGTTCCAAAGCGCTGGGGTTTCCCCCTCGGATTTTGTCTCTTCGGGGTCCCAGGAGTGAGGTCCAATCACAATATTCAGTTGTCTATCGTCAACAACCAGGGGCTTTGCTACTTTTCCCGCGTCCCAGGCTGCGAACTGCGCTTTTGAGCTCCCATGTTCGTGGGGTGGGGTGGGGGGCGGGGCGGGGCGGGCGGAGAGGGGCGGGGCGGGGCGGGGCGGGGCGGGGCGGGGCGGGCGGGGGGGCGGGGCGGGGCGGGGCGGGGCGGGGCGGGGCGGGGCGGGGCGGGGCGGGGCGGGGCGGGGCGGGGCGGGGCGGGGCGGGGGGGCGGGGCGGGGCGGGGCGGGGCGGGGCGGGGCGGGGCGGGGCGGGGCGGGGCGGGGGGGGCGGCGGCGTGGCGTGGCGTGCGTGGCGTGGCGTGGCGGGGCGGGGCGGGCGCGTGGGGTGCACGGCACGGCGCGCGCGGCGCGGCGCGGCGCGGCGCGGCGTGGCTTGGCGTGGCGTGTGGCGTGGCGTGGCGTGTGGGTTGGGGTGGGGTGGGGTGGGGTGGGGTGGGGTGGGGTGTGGGGGGTGGGGTGTGGGGTGGGGTGGGGTGGGGTGGGGTGGGGTGGGGTGGGGTGGGGTGGGGTGGGGTGGGGTGGGGTGGGGTGGGGTGGGGTGGGGTGGGGTGGGGTGGCGTGGGAGGGATTGGCCCAAAAGTAACCAAACGCTTCTTCAAGTGGAAGAAGTCCAGCAACTCGGGAAGCGAGTTGGAGCAAGCACCTAACCAAAAGGGACTCAGCAAAACCGGAATCGAGCCGCACTCTGAAAACTCCAGGCACCCTTTGAGTTCCATAAGCATTGGAAAGGAGCTTTAATTGAGGACCCAATGCGAGCAATGAGTGAGGAAGATCCTCGCCTTCGCAGAAATGTCTGGCTACCAAGTCTGGTCAACTTGGCAACCGTCGGTACTGGCAGAAGGCTTATTGCTTTTTGCAGCCCCCTGATCCTCTTCCGCAGAGGGTGCGCCAACAAGAACTCAACTTGGGTGTGTCTGGCTTTAGGAATCGGACCCCCCAAACTGGATTTCGGCATTGGCTTTCCCCTTAAAACCAACCAAAAGAAGGTTCCCAAACAAAAACCATGTTTTCCTTTGAGTTTCCCTTTAAAACCCACCAACATGGAGGTTCCCCGCAACAAAAGGCCACACCCATTTGTCGTGTGCCGCTCGCAATCCCCACAGTCCCCACAATTGGACTTGGCATCTTAGGCTCCCCGGCGATGCCGCTCTTGTGCCTCGGATTGCTGCGTGGCTCGTCTTCTTTTAGGATTTGTTAGTGGGAGGCAGGGCAAGCCCCCAAATGATGCAAAAAAACACCGAGTTGGCCCAAAGAACGCCAAAACCTCCGGCGTTGGTGTGGGGTGAATGGCAATCTGCTAGTTGGGTTCATCCATGATGAAAAGAAGCTAGGTGCCTACGCATCTGTCCACAACTGATGGACTCAGGGGTACGCCTTTTTTGGCCCAAATGATTCCAAATAGCATATGTGTAACAAATCGGATGCCCGAAAAAACAGAACTCGGTGTTCCCTTTCTTTCCCTTTCAACCAAGGTCAACAGGCCCCTCAATGGCTGTGGGTCAAAAATAGGTACCCACATAGAACACGGCAAATGGACAAGGACTAAAACCTGCGTTTTTCCCGGTCGTTTGATGTTGTGCTCAAATAAGGCCAGACGCACCGCAGCCACAGCCAGCAAATTCTTCTGGGGCGCCCCTACAAAGCGAGACTCGCCCATGGAGTCCCGGCAGTGGTGAAGATACTCCAGCCTGACCATCCAAATGGCCCACATGGGTGCGTGCAAAAATGCCAAAATGAAGGGCCCCCCCCCAAAAAGAAATGTAGCTTTCCTTTTGGTGTCCCTTTACACCAAGCCCAAAAGAGCGCCATCAAAAAATACAAACCCACATCTGGCATCAAAAAATCGGACTTTCTGATGGTTCATACTCAAATCGTTTTGGAGGAGACCCAAAACGAACCGAGGAAGAAAAGAAACATCAGGACTTCAGGCCTAACTTGGAGCGCCGGTCGGGTGCGTCTGAGCGTCAGCTTCCCTCGCGCCGAGGTGGTTTGTAGCCGAGCCGCTGGGTTTGGTGGCCTCTAGTTCCTCCAGTGGAGAGGCTAGAATAAGGGTACCCTTTTTTCTGTAGTCTATTGTAGTAGGGGAACCCTGGCCAAAAAGAAACGCCAAAGGGCACTACTGGGGGACAATAACAAATATTCATTTCAGCAAATGCCTAGAGTCTCCTTCTGACCCCAATCAAAAATGGTTGGTCATTACCCTGACGAATGGGGTCATACGGACCTATTTTTAAAGGGTCATGGAGACTCCAGGTACAAAGACAGAAGTTCAGATCTCAACCGATCCAAACCACCAATGGAGAACCTGAAACTTGGGCGTTCGCGCCGTTGAGGTGCCCAAAGCAGTTGGTCCGGGCCGAAGAAAGCAAAGGCACACCCAAGCTGGTGACAACCCACATGTTGTTTGCACGGGCAAAACACTTGGATTCTTCTTCATCCCCATGCCTTTCTTGCGATGTTCTGGTAAATGGTCGTTCATCATTGAGAGGAACTCCCAGCGACGGCTTAAGCAAACCAAAGTTCAGGCCAGCATGCGGGTATGTGTCAAAAACACCAGGATCACAAGGGCTGGCTTCGTTTGGGTGTCCCCTTCAACAGCAACACCACACCATCGAAACGCTGGCCCAGATGGCTTGTGGTTTCACATCAGGGCATGGGAAACCTGCCAAGGAAAGGAACCACGGACGCCACTGAAAATCGATGCATTGTTTCGAGCAACAGGTGGCTCCTGTTTTTAGGCGTCACATGGACGCAAGACCCGGGATGAGCTCGCCGGCCTTAGAAGGCCCGAAGAACAGGAGGGAGAAAACCATCAAACACCGCTCAACCGGTTTGCAAGAACCAGATGCCTCACCAATTTGTTGTGTCTAGAGCATCCCCCCCTCCCCTCCCCTCCCCCCCATTTTGGGACGGATCCCCGTCTCCCTCAACCACGGGAGGTGTTGTTTTTTTCCTCCGAACGCGAGCGACTTCTCGTTTCCGAGCGCCCGCCTGTCCAGAAGCTGGTCCCGGACCTTGCGATGTGTGGCGGCATGTACGCACCGAAAGGAAGTGTCGCCATTTTGGGGGTCCCGCCCAACTTTGAGACATAGAGTCTCCATGACCCGAATCAAAAATGGTTGGTGATTACCCTAAATAATGGGGTATTTTTAAAGGGTCACTGAGACTCTAGGTACCTATCAACCGAGAAGTTCCCAATCTGTTGCTAGAGGAGAAGCGTTCATGCGATAAACCAAGTTGTAAGTTGTAAGGTGCAGAGCAACCCTTTCCAAGCATTGGCGAGGTCTGAAATTAAGAAAGACACCCCTTCCTTGGATCGTTTCTGAAGTGACAAATCTGGAAAGCACAGAAACCCTCGAAGAAACCAGCAAAACCCCCACGCCCAAGCCCCTGAAAAAAAACCTCCCCCACCCCCGAATCTCCGACCCCCGACCAACCCACTTTCCCAAACGCGGCCGACCGAATCCACTCGGCCCCTCGCAGAGTCCGGCGCGGAGCCGCCGGGGCTCATCCTACTGGAAGCCTTGGAGGGCTCTTTGCTGCTCCTGGCGAAATGGACCTTTCCAGCCACATGTGAAAACCCATGTGCGGCACATTCCCCTCTAAAGCCAACAGCGTGTCCTGTTCTATAAAAACACATAAGCAACATGTATATATATATATATATGTATATATATATATATAGAGAGAGAGAGAGAGAGAGAGAGAGAGAGAGAGAGAGAGAGAGCGGGGCGCGAGGGGGGGGTGGAGTTATGAAACTGTGTAAACGTGTCATTTTTTGGTGTTTCAAGCATGATAGTATGAAGCAGGCTGCATTGAGGCTTGTGTTGACCTGTCCAGATCAGTCATAGGGTGAGTATTCCCTTAGTAGTTTCTTGGTACACCCTCTAGTGTTCCCCTAGTAGTCCCTCAGTATTCCCCTTCTCAGTAATTCCCTGTATTCTCCTCCCTCCTTCACCCTTATTCCCCTAGTATTCCCCTAGAATTCCCCTAGTAGTCTCTGTTATCCCCTCGGTATTCCCTTAGTATTCCTTTAGTATTCTCTTGGCATACCCTCTAGTATTCCCTTCATGTTCGCTCAGTATCCCCTTAATATTCCTCAAGTATTCTCTCAGTATTATCCTACTGCTTTCCTTGCATTCACCCTTAGTACTTCCCTTAGTATTCCCTTGAGACGTCCTTAGTATTCCATTTAGTATTCCTTCAACATTCCCCTATTCCTTTAGACTTTCTCTTACCCTTAGTAATCCCTCAGTAGTTCCCCAGTATTCTCCTAGTATTCCCCTAATATTGCCTTACTATTCCTTAGTATTTTCTTGGTATACCCCTAGTATTCTCCCAGTATTCCCCTTCCCCTAGTATGATCCTCCTAGCGTTCACCCCTAGTACTTCCCTGGTATTCCCTTGATACTTCCTTCGTATTGTCAATCCCCTTAGTATTCCTTTAGCATTTCCCTATTCCTTGAGTATTCTCTTACCCTTAGTATTCCCACAGTACTTCCCTAGTATTCTCCTAGTATTTCCCTATTATTGCCCTAGTAGTCCTTAGTATTTTCTTGATATACCCCTAGTGTTATCCCAGTATTCCCCTAGTATGCTCCAGCATTCCCCTTTGCATTCCCCTAGTATTTCCCTATTATCCCCTTGGTGTTTCCCTAGTATTCCTTTAGTATTGTCACTGTATTCTCTTGGTACCACTCCGGTAGTATTCCCTTCTAGTGTTCCCATTCCCCTATTTTTTTAGTATTTTCTTACCCCTAGGGTTCCCTCAGCACTCCCCCCCCAAGAATTTTCTCAATATTCCCCTAGTATTATCTTAGTATAATTTGCTAGATCTATCAAATAAAAATATTTCATAAGGAAATAACTCAGAGGTGTCAACCATGTTGAATTGTGTGTTGAATATTGTGTTTAAATGCTAAACATTTAAATTGAAATAGAATAATCACTACTATTGAAATATAATATTCACTACTTCAATTCTAATTTAACATGGCAATTATGATTGGATTATGTCCTTATAACATCATGTTCAATTTCAGTTAGAAATCGAGTATAGTTAGCTAAATGTATCCAGTAGAGTTCATAAGGATTGCTGAATGCTGAATGCTTAGCCAGACCTTACTAGGGGTGAATTTCAGAAGAAAAACAAAACAACCTTGGGGCCTGGAGTTGTTTTGAAACCTCAAGTTTATGTTGTTTTTTTGGAACAGTGAGAAAAACCTCGAGTTTTCCAAACAACTCAGACCCCATGCCCCAGATCCTGGAGACACCCCCCCCCATGGGGCCTGGAGTTTTATTGTTGAAAAGTGAGAAACACCTAAAAAACACACACACACAAAAAAAACTCAGACCCCATGCCCCAGATCCTGGAGACACCCCCCGTGGGGCCTGGAGTTTTGCTGTTTGTTTTTGGAAAACTCGAGGTTTTTTTGTTTTTTCCCCCCCAAAAAAAAAACCTCAGACCCCATGCCCCAGATCCTGGAGACACCCCCCGTGGGGCCTGGAGTTTTTTTTTGTTTGGAAAACTCGAGTTTTTTCGTTTTTTTCAAAACAAAAAAACAAAAAAAAACCTCAGACCCCATGCCCCAGATCCTGGAGACACCCCCCGTGGGGCCTGGAGTTTTTTTTGTTGTTGTTTTTTTTTGAAAACTCGAGGTTGTTTTTTTTGTTCAGACCCCATGCCCCAGATCCTGGAGACACCCCCCGTGGGGCCTGGAGTTTTGTTTTTTGTTTTTGGAAAACTCGAGGTTTTTTTGGTTATTCCAGAAAAAAACAAAACAAAACCTCAGACCCCATGCCCCAGATCCTGGAGACACCCCCTGGGGCCTGGAGCTTTTTTTGGAAAACTCGAGGTTTTTTTGGTTTTTTGACTAGGTTGCTTGATGAGTGCAGATCATTGGACAAGTTTGCTTAAGGAGTGCGACACATAATTGATGTCATTTGGTAGTTGAATGCGGATGCAGAATTGATATGTTAGAGCAATTGTATGAAAACATGCTCTTTTCACAACTCCGCCCCCATGGCACCCCCTTCTGTATATATAACATAGATATATGTGTGCTTGCAATACATCATGTCGACAGACACATAAACTTTATACCCGCACAAGTACGTGTCTAATATATATGTATAATGTGCGTGTGTACATATATACATATATAATACATGTTTATGAGCCACAGTCCATGTTCACTATGTCCCTGTTTTTTTTTGGGAACCTATTTTGGGCAAACATTTTGGAGCGAAGCACCCAGCAAGATGCCAAAAAGGGTGGCACTGGCATTGGCAATTAGGCAGAGAGCGAGTTCTCTAAGCGAGGTCTTCCCTTCTTGGCCTCGTTCCCGTCTCCCTCGGACCGAGCCCCATGTGGATGGGTTTGAAGGAAAATCCGAACACCGGAATTTTGAGGCGATCCCATGTCACCCAGCGACCCCGGTGGAAAAAATAGTTCCCCCGTGTTGAGGCCGCTTACATGTTGAGCTGGTCTTGCGCCCTCCAAACACTGAGAAACTCGGAAGGCGAAACGCTGAACAACTGGTTGTCACGTTTGGGCAAGGCCACTCTTGGTTTGTTTCAATGTCTTCGTAGGGCTAGCCTGGGGCTGTTAAGGAACATCAAAGGCTCACTTCCTGAGTGGATTGGCTAGAACAGGACGAAATGTGTTGTTTCCACTAAAAAGGTCCAAACCCAAAAAGTGACTCAAGTCCGAAACGGCACTCAGGGAGTGAGAGCGTAATGTGACGTGATTTAAGAAGGACCTAGAAGAGAAACGGGTTTGTCCCCTGATCAATTCACCCCCCCTTCTTTTTTTGGTCAGATTCCTTTGGTTCTGGGTGAATTATAATTGTAAACCCAGGTTTCAGCTACGCGCCCTTTTTCTTGAACACAAACGGCTTCCAGGTATTCCTAGACTCCTCCCAGTGCCTTGCCGCCAGGCTCGCACTGCTACAAAATGCTGCCCTCTTTTCGGGCTAAGGTCAAAACGTCGCCCCTTTTCGGGGCTAGCTCAAGCCGCGCTGAACCTCTCCTCTCCTGCAATTCGCGCAGGGCTGATAGGTCACTCCCCGCCCAGCGCACGTCTCCAGCACATGCCACAGGCCATCTCCTGTGATGTGCACTGCTCCCGGATGAACGAAGAGCAGCCGCCTGAAGTCCGGTGTCGTGCACACCGGGCATGGCAGGGTCTCCATGACCCGAGTTGCCCTCCTCAAACCATAGCAATTCTCGCGGGCATGGTACTTCTCGCCCGTCATGGTGTAGAACACGCTAGGCTCCACCGGGATTCCGTCGTCCTCCGACTCAGGCTCGGGAATGTCTTGGTGACCACTCCCTGCGGCCCTCGATGCTGGGTTGACGTCAGCACCGGCTCCGCGCGATCCTGCCTGGGGTTCCGACCAAGGCCGTAGGTCCCTGCCAGGATCTGTCGCCTGTTTGCCGTTCCTTTGTTGTAGCCCTTGCTGTACCCCTTGCTGTAGCCCTTGCTGTAGCCCTTGGTGACCGCGATCCAGTCCACATTCCGTGCCGCGGTTCCCCTCGGCTCCACAGGCGTCTTTCCAATTCCCTTTGCCATAGATGGTGCCGCCGTCGTCCTCTTGGCTGTAGCCCCCAACTCGCCTGAGCCAGTCCCGGCACCAGATGAGGACCTCAACGGATCCTGCTCAGATCCCACATTCAATCTCGGCGTAGAAGGCCGTCTTGCCGTAGGGCTCGGCTCATCCACCACCGAAGAGGTAGGCCTCGGGGTAGTCCTCCTTGTGGATGACCCTCTAGCCGTTGACGATGACGCAGCCACCTCCTCTGTCTCTTCGACTTTCTCCACTCGCATGCTCTGGATCCTCGGTCCACCCCATCGCTCTTGTACCTTTGCCGCCAGCAACTCTAGCAGCTTCATGACCGCGACCGTGAACACCGCCACCAGCATGCCGAAGACCTTCAAGTGGTCGTAGTCCCCACTACCATCCTTCTTCTCAGGATTCTCCTCCATGGCTGCCGCACCTTGAACTTGCATGCAGCAGCCCAACACCGCCACCAGCCCTCGACACTTGTTCACCTCCAGTCTCACCAGAGCTGACTTCTCAATGTCCTCTTCACTCTCCCCTTTCGCCTTCATGCCCATCAACTTCATGAGCTCCTTCAGCTTTGCCCCTGTCAAGGCCTTGGTGCCCACGTCGGCGATCATCTCGACTCCAGGCAAATGCCGAACTCGCCATTCATCCGCTTGGATCCTCCACCGAAGGTGAAAGGCACGTAGGCGCAGATGACGTGTGCGCCAAGCTCCCGTGCTTTCTGCACACAGCTGAATCGCTGCCTGATTGTCACCGAAGAGGTACCGCATGTAGTTCGCGCCCTCCTCAATCTCGTTGATGAGAACGTCTACCGCGTCCCCCATCACAACGCCTTCGATCATCTCCATGAGCTCGCACTCGGCTGTACTCAGCGCCGGAAATCCTTGTCTGCTGGACTTCCAAGCGATCACCGAGTTCTGCCACTTCACCATCACGCAACCGTGCGACAGAGCTCCTCCTGGCGCGAAGCTCGAGTC